CAATCTGAGGACAGTGTAGAGAATTCAGAAAGAGTTGGACAAGTTTAGTGATGATTACAAAGGTACGGCAGCTCGGAAATTGTTCTGATGAGAAATGAACTTCCAAATTTGTTGATGAGGGCCTCAGGCTCAACATGGAGTCCTACATCAAGTTCCTTGAGGAGGTAGTGCTGCCCTGGGGGAAGTGCACTGCTGCTGGAAGTCTCTGTCTGGCAATAAAACTCTGCAGTATGTGACACAAGCAGGAAATCCCTGTCATGGCTGACAGACAATTTCTGCAATACTACTATACAGTGCAGTTACCAAAAGCGAAAACAAACAACACACATGCAAAATTAAAAATATAAAATGACGATAATTTACCCATTGAATCCTCTGTGTGTGTGTGTGTGTATATATATATATATATATATATATATATAAAATGTCAGATTTTATTATACAAGTCAGTGCTTTCACAATAAAATTGTTATTAACCTACAGATGCTAGTTGTACACTTCTTATAGTCACTGATGCCAAATATAAAACAGCAAAGTGTTATCAATTGAGGTGTAATCTGTTGCAGGTGTGGTTGTTTTTTTGTCAGTTCACTATTTTCACCTGTCGCTTGTTCTGCATGCTGTCATCTAGTGGTTTAATAGTACATACCAGTCAGGATGGGATTATCAAAGAATACTTCTGTTCATTCTAGCAGGCTGTGGTTTTTTTGATCTGGAGACTTTCTTGAAGGGCAGAAAAATTAAGGATAGAAAGAATAAATGCTTTTGTAACAGTTTAATACCATGAAGGCTGCCAAAGATTCCAATTACTCTGGTTGATTTCTACTAATATTCTTGAAGCAATGAGAGTAGCTAATAGCAAGAGTAGCAGCTTGTGTCTGTGTGTTTGAGATTCTTGCAGTTTGGAGAGAGAGAGGTTTCTCTGGATGAGAAGAAAAATTGTGATGCAAACTGTCCAAGCAACTGTGGGTTCTCACTTATATAGCCATTTGTTTGAGGGAATGACATTTATAATTCTTATATTCCCACAAAGACCTTCTTTATTAGGAAGGCACATGGCTCTTCCCAACCAGATTCTGGGCCCAGACATTTTGGTAAGAATCAATATATTTTGAGAGGCCTGTTAAATAAATGGTTCCCAGACTTGGCAGGTTTTTTTCAGAATTTTGATGAACACATTAATCTTGTTACAACAGCTTCCTTGGGGTTGTGACGCAAGGTAGGGAAAATTCAGTCATACTGAATTTGCTAAATCATGCTAGGTTTATTTTAGGTTCAAATCCCACCAATGCCTTCCCCATAAGCATTTTGTAGGTTCTAGTTAATATTTCTAATATTTTTAAATCAAACCTTCCATCAGATTTCAATCTGGTCAACTAATCTTCCATGCTTATTTTCCACTTAGTATTTTTACTTCTTCACTTAGAATTTTTATCTTTCTCAATTCCTCATGTTACTAAAGCATATTTCATGCATTATTGCCTCAATCAAGGTTACACTGGCAAAACCTTCAGTACATATTTATATGAATAATATATTGTGTGAGTTTCAGTTAATAATATCTATTGTTATTAAAAAATATTAGTAATAACATGTTTTAACAAAGTGCAATGTAAATTTTCATTAAGAAATATATCCAAAAGATATAGAAATACAAATTAACATTATGACTCGTGACCTGAAAAAATTTTTTTATTATTTTACATGTTAATATAGGCATTTGAGATTCTGTAACATTCATCAACTTCTTATTCATTGATTTTGTTAACTTTTCTACTTTTTCAGCTATAACCTTTATTACAAGTTTTTATTGCTTTGCAGAGAACCTGTTTGCTTGAATATTGTTTTCTATTCTTGTATACCTGTATTTTATTTATAGATGTGGAACGAGTAGCCATGGTCAAATGCAAAATAAATAATAGAACTGTTCAACAAACAGAATTGACAAAGTTTACAATAACAAGAAAAAGAAAATAACAGGGCAAAAAATAATATAAAGCAAGCAAACAATATATGCAAGGCAAAGCAACAGTAATTTGGGGAAAAGTTCACAAACTAAGAATTGGTGTCAACACACAAAAGCATGTTCAAGCAAGCAAGCATAGTGTTCTGACTTCAAAACAAAACAGATTGTGACTGAGTCAGGTAAAACCGTGAACTAGCCTATTTTATTGACTAGGAAAAAATTATTCTGATTGGTTTGAAACTAACAATAGACCAGGTTTCTATTGGATTAATATCAGAAGAGGCTGGGGTCCATTCCATTAATTTGGTTAATTTTGGTAAAGAATATAAAGGAATATTATTTTGTATGAATATAACACTCAGTCAATCCTGGTCTACAGCAACCAATTATAACACTTTTTTGTTGGTTGGACCTTGGTCAAATACTGCCCCTGACGTTGGTCACTCTGGTCTAAACCATTTCTCTGCCCACATGTTGATTGATCACAGATCTGGCTAAGATCAGATTGTTGTTAGCAATTGCAGTGTTGTTTCAATCTCAACAAAGCTGTGTCACAAAGAAAATGAAATAAAATGTTCTCACAGATGAGTAAAGAAAAGACAGGAATTTTTTAAAGGTCTATTTTTATGTAATTTTATATCAATTCTTTGTACAATTTTATAAGTTCTTGGTACAGAAATATTAACTCTTCCCACTTTGAAGTCTATCATGACACTTTGCTTAACTTAGCTAAGTCTGAAATAAGGCTCGAGTCAGAGGTTCTCTCTGTGAGTAAGTTATGTGGGATTTGGCGGAGTGGTCATCTGTCATCTGGAACATCTGTCTTGGTCATCTCAGTATTCTGCTTATATTGACTTTTCCATCCAAAACTGGCATGGGAGTTGATGTGGATATCGGGACTTGGTGGTTTTCCTATCTTTAACAAGGGCTTCCTTGTTGTCTGGCTCTGGATAATTACTTATACTTCTATATTTGGAGAGACCCCTTTTCCCATGGGTAGCAGTCACAGGATATCAATCCACCCAACTCCTTCCTTTTCTTATTTATGCCTCACACTAACACTTTCCAATGGGCCTAGGCAATTCCACCATCTTCCTTGGTATTTCACCTGTGCCTATCACTTTGGTTGTCCTTTGACCAATCTGGCTTTCAACCACATGACATGGCCTTAGTTTGTGGTCATTAATTAAAATTATCATGTAACAGAATCACATTTCTCTGAAGTATCTCTGCCCTAAAAAGAAACAGATTTTGGAAATAAAAAGAAATCCTTTTTTCCTTTCTCAGTTTGTCCATTGTTCTATTCTTTAACTTTTCTCATCTTGTTCCAAGCTATTTTTTTAATTTAACCCCTTTCTTTCTATCTGCCAGTGTCACATGAAAATATTCTTTTAGTTTAAAAATTCTTGCTTATAACCTGAACTTTAAAAAAAAGTTCTTATCCAATAACTGTATGCATATATCTTGAACCATCAACCTTGAAGGAATAAAAATTTCTTATCCAATTACTGTATGCATATATTTTGAACCATCAACTTACTCTACCTATCCCCTGCTTTTTTCTAAGTCATTTTGTTTGACTAGTTCCATGAAGAAGCAAACTCAACTATCAGGTCCATCCAATGTAGTTTAATTATTAAAAATTAGTGTTGAAGAAATCAGTTTTCATGTGCTTCACCTAATTTTTTATTTTATTTATTTATTTATTTATTTTTTTTTTTTTGTGATATTTACTGAAAGGTGATAGTTTGGTTGTTTTCATGTTTTTAGCCAATATTCTTAAGGTTCTGCATCTTTTGTCTTTGTTTAGATTTGCAACACCAACTTCTTCAAATATTTTCTTGTTGACCAATCCAATTTTCTTGTTCATGAACCTTTCAGTTTTTCTTAAATCTCTCTTTGGCGACATTCCAGTTTTTTCTTGTTCATATCTTGACAATGCCATCAGTTTTCTTTGATTGTTCAGTTTTTTTCACAATTTCAAAAATTGTTTTGCCATTAATCCACGATTTTAATACATTGTTTTTCTTTTGTGATTATATCTTTCTTATGAACTATGGCAATTTTTATATATCTGTATCATTAACTATAATATATGTATATTATGTATTATATATATTATATATTAACACTATGATGAAAAGCTTTGACATCTCATAATAAAATTCCACAACGGCAAATTATTTATTGTAAATATTTCTAATAAAGATAATTACAAACTGAGATTTACATGGTTCTTTTAGTAATTTCATTTAAAATGATTTTTTATCTGACATTATTTCATATTACCATAAATGTTATTTTTAGTGGGTACAATAGTATTTTCTTTAATAAAAAACAAGGGTAGCAACTCAAGCATATGTACCCATTAAAAATAACTTTTATAGTAATAAGAAATAATATCAGATAAAAAAAAATCCTCTAAAGCAAAAATGAATCTAGCAGGTATAGAATCATAGAAGTCCTAACAAGAAACATGCTTTCCTTTAAATAGGTAATTCAAAATTTGCCGTCAGGCTGGATCTGTGGTTGAACTGGTAGAGGCACACTTTGGCTCAAAAAGTGGTTTCTTTGATGGATAAAAAAGAATTCAGGTTTGATTCCTGTTGGAAGCACGATTTTTCTTTAGTAGCATTGCTCAATTTAGGCTGGTTGTTATTACTGTTGAATAAAAATAAAAAACAGGGATAGTAATTCAAACATGTGTACCCACTAAAAATTACATTTATAGTAATAAGAAATGGTACTTTTATCAGATAAGTATCAATATATCCTGAAAATTACATTGAATCAAAGAAGAGATGTATCACAATGATTGTATATCAGTAATAAAACTGAACAGCATAAATTATTTAGGAACTTGTTTATCTTCTTTAATAAATGAGAATTTCTAGCTATTTTTAACCTACTTTTTAAAATTCAGTTTCTAAAAAAAAATAGTGACCACTTTCACTCAAGAAAGTTTCATAATGTGCCTCTATTTTGCAACTTGACTTTTATATATAATTATTTTTGTTTTTCTTTGTTATTATAGGGTTGGCAGTATGCAGCTAACTTTCCCTCGTACTGGACACAAGATATCAAATGGAATTCCTGTGTACGTAAACGCAAGTGGATCAGATTCCGGCGCTACACTGCTGTTGACAGCTGGGCCAAGGTCAGTGTAGTCATTTTAACTTTGTCTCATCTTATTAGCCTCTTGTTTTTCCAATTATTTTTTTTACATAAATTCATCACAAGCTGAGCAGGAATGAATCAACTAAAGTATTTAAGTTATTTAAAATTAACTTTCAAAGATAAGCAGTGATTTAAGAGACTTAGCAACAGTAATTGGTAACCTATAGAATACATTTTCTGTGACGTAGTGGTTAAAAAGAAGACCAGCAGTTTAAGGATTTTGACCCTTCATACTTGCGGCCTTGTACTTAACTATGCTAAGCTGATCTATATCTATTTAATAGATTACTCAGTGTGTGTGTGTAAGAGAGAGAGATATTAAAATAATGAAATTGTCTGTATCATTTTACATGAAATTTAAAATGTTCATTGACCCTTTGAACCTGAGCGGCCAGTATATCAACTGCTGTATGAAAGTGCATATACTGTACTCATTGGCTTTCAAGGTTCAAAAAGTTAAAAAAAAAAAAGTCAATTCTTCTTTTAAATAGATAAAAAACAACAGATATTATATTGCAATTTTAAGACATGAACAAATTATTTTTCCTAATTATTTTCCAATTTTTACCTATTTTTTTTTGTCTGTTCAATCATTACTATTAATATATTAAAAAGGTATAACATTAGCTTTCAAATGACAAGTATAATCCCCTAAACTAACTTTTCTTTTTTAAAAATAGTTTAATACTAGTCATTTACAGAGAGAAAACATCGCACAAACAGTAAAAGGGATATGTATCATTTATAGAGATTGTTCCATAAATGAAAGTAGTATTTGTAAGTGGTTTGCTAAGTTCAGAAGGGGAAATTATAATCGACAAGACCGAGAACGTTCCATCAGGTGTACAGTCATTGATAATGATCAAATTGAAATGCTGATTAAACATAATCCCAGTCACATGACACAGGACATTGTAGAGTGTTATATAGGAATAAAGTGTTGCTACCAACATTGCAGTTTGAACATAGATCACCAGAGAGCAAACACAGGCAATCCCATTTTGAATAAGTAGATCATGTGATAGTAAAGGAAATGTATTTATTGAAATTAGCATATAACTGATCACTATTTCTATTCTATCCTCTATTACTATTCGAATCACTTTTTCTACACTATCCTCTATCTCTGTACTATTCACTATACTGATCACTATTCAGTTGTTACTATTCAAATGAGTATTATTGAGCAAGTACTATTAGAGCAAGTGTTATTCGATGGCGTCTGACACCAGTATTGTTCAACAGCGTTATATAGTTTTATCTGTGATTACAAAGTCTCTATTACAACGAGCATTACCAACGAGTATGCGTTGACATCACAAAAGTGGCAATGGGTGTTCATTGACATCACAAAACAGAGATACTTCAATAAGTGTTCATAGTTGGTATAAGATTGATCTTGAACAAAAATCAATATTCCATTCTCTACCAAATGACCAAAGAACACTTATGTCTTCACCAGACATATAAAACTTTGTGGATTGATACAATTCCTCTATCAGGTCAAGATATTTAGTGAAGTCAGAGTTTGGAAGATGGTTTCTGATGGATGAGAAAAGGACATTTCTATTGATGTGGTTATACTGCGTTGAGATCAACATAAAAGATATATTTCTATTTAATAAGTATACTATATCATTAAGTTGTTTGATGACGTGTACTATCACTGCGCCCCTTATCAGAACGAAATTCAAATTGGGTTGTTGGAAGTTGGTTTCCATAGAATGATAAGAGTTTAATTAATAAAATATTCATTACTACTTTCACCATAATGAGTCCAATTGAGGTACTTCTATATATCTGAGGATCTTCAGAACTACCTATTGTTACCACTATACATTAATGCATGATATACCCAACTGCTTGGAGATGTACTTTTGATTCCAGATTTTCTTCTTGAAACTGAGAAACTTATTTTTGAATTTGGGGACAGAATATGCTACTTTCAAAACTTCAATCTCAATTTTAAGTGAAACTTAATTATTTTTTAGGTTTTTTTATAGCTTTCTTGGTTTTCTTGTCACTAATTTTACTGTTATTTAAGTTTGTAGACTGACTTTTACAATGTTTTTTATATATATATATATATATATATATATATATATATATATATATATATACTGGTGTATATTTTCTCTGGCATCTTCAGTTTGGTGTGCTCTAGATTAAAATTTAACTGAAAGTGTTTTTTGAAACCAGGACATTTTTTCTGTTTTGCTTTTTGATTGTATGACATACCAACAAAAACATCATCAGCATCAAGCTTAACCTTCAGGATAACAACTACTCTGCAAGCGTAACATCAGCATCTGCAGGTGGAAAGAGAAGAGTGAGAGGAGGACCATAAAATTGCCACAGTTTATCTTATTGGAAAAGATTCAGAAGATCTGCAGTCCATACAATATCGGGACAATATTCAGAAGAGGCACCACTCTATGGAGAAATCTCTGCTGAGTCAAGCCTGACATGGAGGTAAACATGGTCAAGAACCATGTGTACTCCATTCTTTGGCATTCTGGCAAAGAATATAAAAGTGAGATAAGCCACCTCCTAAATTATGCTAGAGGAACATCAAAAAGACATAGTGAAGGGTGAGACAATGAAATCAAGCATGGCTGATTATGAATGGATGGAAATGGGTAGTCATCGTAGTCATCAGCTCCTATGAAAATATTGGACTATGATGAACATTGGAGAGATAGATGTATGAAAGAATCAACACATATGCTAGTCTATGAGGGCCTTCTTAGCATAAAAATAAATATGATATTGGAGATGCTGATAAAGAAAGAAAGACAAATGACAGCAGGTCTTCAATAGCAGCAGCTGTAACAAAAGAGAAGCTTTGGTGAGTGCAGTCAAGCATGACAAACAGCAGCAGCAGCAGTTCCAAACAGAATTTTCTTACAGGACAATAGCTTAGTGGATTACAGTGTTATTCTGTGAATTTGGTGATTATGATTTCATATAACCTGACTTCTGGCTCTAACCACTAGACATGACCTGTGCTGATGCTGGTGACCAAATACAACACACCGGTCTAGCTTTTGAAGACCATACCGAGTGTTGTTTGGTGGTGGTGGGGGTGGGGTGAAGGTGGCTTGCCTTAGTTGCAATCAATTTTGCTGGTTTGTTTCCCTCACCTGAGTTTATGATGTGTAGTGGATTTCATTTGTTGTGTACTGGCCAAAAATGACAGACCATGGCTTTTATTGATTTGAGTGATATTTTAATCTTACTGTTTCTTCAATATCAGGTGATCTTGCTGAAAAAAGGTGTAAATGTGCCAACAGAAGAAATGATGCTGTTGAAAAATTATTAACAATTTATTTAAAGGTGAAATTTAAAACTCTTACAACAGCTATGGATCTGTTTTTCCAAATCACTTCTTTTCTACCCTTGAGTTGTTGAGAGATGTCTGTTTAAGAAATACAGAAGTGCTAATGTCTTATCAGCAAATGATTTCTATGGCAATTTTTCTCTAATACATGATGGGAATGGCTGTGGCTGCTGGTTTGATTCATGAATGTTCAACTCCTAGGTACATGTTTTTATGATCTCTGAGTAAACTGATTTCTCCACATGTGTATTTTGTTTATGTCGACTTTGGCCTAAATGGACATGATTAATAACTTCTCAAAGAACCACCTGTTATATAACCCAGATGGCCATACCATAAACTGCTTTTATTTGCTTGGATTTCTAAGTTTCCAAAATTTTCATTGGAATCAACATGAATATACTGGATAGGCTGTTAAACAAACAAACCTTAAAGTTACTTAAAATCCTGTGAACTTTTGGCAAACTCATTAGTCATGTCATGACAACTTCCTTGGGATTATGGAGTTGGGTCAGGGGTGTCAGTTATGCCGAATCTTACTTAGTTTAATTTAAGTTCAAACTCTTTTGAGGCACTTTTTATAAGTATTTTATGGATTTAAATTAATATTTTTAAACAAGACTTTTTTCTTTTTTACATCAGACTCCAATCCAATTAACCACTCTCCCATATCTTTCTCTTTCTAATATCCTAACTCCTTCACTCAGAATTATTATGTCTTTGCATTAGTATGACACAATCAAGACCACTGCTATGTTACATCCAATCTCTAAGCTGGGCATTGTGTATTTGGACTCTGTGGAAACAGGGTGAGCAATAACTGAACAATACTAAAAAAGAACTAGACAAGATATGCCTAAATATAGCTAGTGGTATGAAAACATTTAATCTATCTAAATTAAACTAGATTAAATAAAGGTTTCAGTTCAAAATTCCCTGTAGGTTACTTGGATCGACATACACCTGATGAAGGCCAAAGAGCACAATGACCAAAATGTTATGGTAACAATAACAAAGATGAGGACAATAGTAAATAGTGATAACTCCACATCCAGATGAGGACAATGTAAATAGTGATAACTCCACATTCAGAAATTAAAGTATAATAAAACACTTTGGTCAGCATTGATTGGCTATGAAAATGTATTTGACTTAGTGAATTAAGGACTATCACATGTGACTATTTGGGATATTAGCATGTAAAAGTTATTGAGAATATGTATGGTAAAAGTTCTACAATAATTTGACTACAAAAAGATGCAGATAAAATAAGAAAAGGGTGTGTGGCAAGGGGATACATTTTCATCTAAACTATTTAGAGGTATCCTTGAAAGTATCTTCTGGAAAATGAACTGGGAAGGGATGAGAGTAAACATAAAAGGAGAATATTTAAACAATCGGTGATTTACGGATAACATTTTACTAATATCTGAACCACCGGGTGAATTACAAGAAATACTAAATGATCTAAATATGCAAAGTCATGCAGTAGATTTAAAAATAGATAGTAAAAAACAAAGTTATATTCTGAGAAGATTATAAAAATAGAAGATTAAGAATTAGAAAAAGATCAAGAATACTTATAAATATACTTAGGGAAGGTGATAACAGAAGAAAAAGACCATGGAAATGAAATAAAATAATGTGTAACAATATGGTGGAAAGCATTTAATAAAAATAGTGATATAATGAAAAACATTTTACAAATGTACTTAAAACATAAATTGTATGTATTTATACTTAAATGATAAAGTATATAATGAATGTATGTTGTTAGTTGTGAGATATAGGTGCAAAACATGAAAATTAACAAAATCACTTGAAATGAACTTAAAAATGTACAAAGATCAATGGAAAAACCAATGTTTGGGATAACTTGAACAGAGGTCAACATTAATCAGTGAAAAGATGAAGATAAGAGATACCATGGGAGTGATTAAACAATAAACATAGAGGTGAGTAGGACATATAACAAGAAGAAAGGATAAGAGATGGCGTCAAAGGTTTCTTGATTTATACCCAATGGATAGCATATTCGGTAAGAAAAGGCTAAATAGAAGATGAAATAGGTGTTTGCTGGTTAAACATGGCAGAGAATATAATTATGATCATCATGGAAGGATTTGGAAAAGGCATTTGTTCTACAATGGGATAGCAATAGCTAATGATGATAATTAGAATTCAGAGTGAAGCATTACATTTCCCATTGAGTGTGATGAATATGGTTTTTCTTTTTTTTTAATTTCAGAAATAATTTTACTTCTTTTGCAATTTAAAAATTCCTTATAATATGAAAATGTATTAATAAGTTCATAGCCTGACATGTAGATACTAACTGAATTTTGATTTGAAATTTTCACTGTATAATGTTTATTCTGGCATCTTGATTTTAGTAACTTTTGTAGCACTATAACATGTGCCTTTTCTGTTAATATTTTCATGGTAATTGTTCTGATGAGTTTTCCTCTTTGGTGCCTAGACTTTGCGAATTTAAGTGCAGTACTAGATTGGCAGCAAGGTTTCATCATTTTACAGTTGAAATTGCTATGTAACCATAGATTTTATGCTAACAGTTTCTTCTCTCACACTTCTTACTTTTGGAACTCCCAGTTTCTCGCTTTCCATTTTCAAAAATCTAAATTCAATGTAAATTATTATCTTCTGTCTTAATACCTGTTCTTTTAGTGTTCTCTCTTCAATAATGTTTTCTTTTTCTCATATTCTCTCACACTCAGTAAACCCTTGTGTCTTACTGGCTTTATTGCCTTGCTTAGGATGAAATGATTTAAAAAAAAAAATGTAATTAATAATTACCGCTGAATAAAGTGTATTGACAAGGAAGGAGATTATGTTGAAAAATAAATATTTTTTTGCAAAATAAATGCTTTTTTTTCATTATTAGGCTGCAGACTTATTGATGTATCTACATGTCTCATCAGATACACCATTCATCCAGGAATCACTAGTTGATGAGCTTTGAAGTTTACGATGGTGATTTGAATTTGATAATCATTTGTTTGTAGGTATGAACAAAATAATGAGCCTGATCATAATGATTATTTTTACAATCTCTTTTTAGTGACCCCCAACATATATACAGAACTGATTAAACTTACTTTATAAAAAATAGTCATCATTTTTCCTTGATCAAAGTGACAAATGACTTTGAATTAGAAATACCCAGAAATTTCAATTCAAATATTTACATGTCAAGATGCCCACTAAATCATATTATGATTTTCACTTTTTATTAGAGAAAGTACTGCTAACTATTAATTTTGTTATTGGTATTTCTTTATTATTATTAATTTTGACTGATATTTAATTCCATGTTAAATTTCTTACTTTTTATTGCAACTTTACTCAGACTGTCAATCCATGGCATTGAGTTAACTGAACATCAGAAATAAAGGATACACTCTCATGGAAATTCAAACTTGTATTCCTTTTTGCCTCAGGAATGTCAGGTTAAACGCACCAGCTGCTATTATTAACTGAACTATGAAAACTCAACCGTTTGTGGATCTAACATTTTAAATCTCAATTTGCAATCTCTCTTGATGTCATTTTTGTTTTTAATATATTTTTTATATTAGACTCTAAAAAAATTTAAGATGAAAGTAAATACTAGTCAAAATTAATAATACTAATTGACAATGCTTCAGCTAATAAAAATAAACATAATACTGCTAGTATTTCTTTCATTTTAATTTTAGTTGCTTTTCATTGCAACCATTTGAACATTAATCTTCAGTTGTCATTAAAAGCAAAAGCTTGGAAGAGAAGAAAATTCAAATTAAATTCAAAGGAATACTAGTCAAGTCAAAAATTCATAAAAACCCACTAATTAAAAAATAATAGAAACCTACTGAGTTCTGATGGAGACCATAATCTGATATATATAAATATACTTTCATAAATATATATTTATCTCCTAAAAACACTCTGCATATAAATGAGGATATAGTCATTCAAAAAAATAAAAAGGAACACTTTACAACTAAGCATTGTCATATCTTGTTAAAACAATCGTCATATTCTTGTGCTCCTTACATATGGTAATGGTGAAATTAGCCGTTTCCATACAGGAAACATTTAGCATTCATTGATCAAACACTTAGTGTTAATGTTGGCTGTGTAGAGCAAAGATGGAAATAAACAGTAGGACAATCAAATGCCAAATCACAAAAATAATGGTTTCTGCATTGGAGGATTTATGCATCCTTCCAGTTAATTCTTTGAGAATAAATATTTTAATATTTTTCAACCAATGGGTTGCATTCCCACTAACAATAAAAAACATGCTTTATGATCCCATTCAAGAGTATATAAGCAAAGCTTCTCGACCAGATAGGCCAGTAAAGAGGAGTGGCAACATACTGCAACAGAATCACAACACCATGGCTTAAAAGAGATTCCCTTACTAATTCATCCATCTTCTTTACCAAGTTACATGACATTTACACTTTTCCTCACCAAGCAACCTGATACTTACACTTTCCTCCTTGCCTCTCTTTTTCACACATACACATGAAGAAATCACATTTCTTTTCATTTCATCAAACAACTATATAATAAGGAACTCATACATGCTGAGAAAAATTTAATTGTAAAAACACAAAAATAAAAATATTTATATTTTTATATGAAACATTTTTCACCTTTTTCCTTGTTGTGGGTTGATTCAAATCTGCAACAGTTGAAACTGATAAAATCTTTCTCTTAAAACAGTTTTTCAGAAAAATAGGCTTCTCAAGTTCACCAACTTTTATTGCTCTTATTAGTATTGATCGGAGTTTCCTTTCTAAGCTTTTGTTTAAAGTATTGTGGAATATCATTATCTTGATTATATCATTATTTCCCTTCTAGTTACATGTGCTATCCATTTTAATTGTTGCCGTTGTTAGAAGTCATCAAGTGCTGTGGTTTTTGTTATTTGGCAAAGTTCTTTGTTATTCTGTAGCACTAGTATTTCATATTGCAGAAGTAAAAATATTTGACTTGAGATTTCTGGGTACTGGGTATTTGAATCACAGGTTCAGATCGCTTGAAGTAAACAACAAAGTATGATCTTCATGTATTGTAATTGTCACATTATTTATCCCAGCTTCTTAATTTTCCCAGGTTCCTGATCTCACCATTCAGAGTCACAAAGAAGCATTTATTGATGTCTCAGTTGGTGGATTTGAGTTACCTAATCAGCCTCTTGGACACCTATGTGTATGGGCAGTTACTGTGGATGGACAGGTAAGTGCTGTTCTCAGTTGAATATTTACTGCTGATAGATTTTAAAGACAAATAATGAGAAAATTAAAGATGCAGTCATATTGCTTGTTGTGTCTTTTAGGTATTTGTGCGGAGTGGTGTGAGTCGAGATTGTCCAGAAGGTAAAGAATGGTGCCACATAAACACCAATGGTCAGAGCATTATCAATATATCCGTAGGTCCTACTGGGCGTGTCTGGGCAGTGACATGGGATGGAACAGCTTATGTACGAATAGGCCTGTCACGTGATTGTATCTATGGTAATTATTTTTTCTATATGTTGCTGCAATTTTTTTTATCTTATTAATTTTATTGTATTAATTATTATCAGTCTCATTTTATATTACAGAAGCAAAAAGATAAGTTTAGGAAGAGTTGACATTTTTCTGCTAAATTATATGGAGATTTTACAGCTCATAAAGATAATGAGTTTTGCTTGATACACTTGTGCCAAAGTGTAAACTAGGTTATCTTGCAAGTACAAAAGAATAGTCCATAAATTAATTGCATCTGCTATTAATTATAAAGAAAAAGTGATATTTACATTCAAAGCTATTTCATCAGTTACTTTTTAATTTCATAGAAAAAGCTTACAGCCATATCACATTGAAACACTAGTTCTCATATGATCACTGAAATTAAACAACATTGAGCCTGGTCAGTACCTAGATGGGTCACTACTTGGGAATACCAATTGCTGCAAGCTTAGATGTGTGGGTGGTGTAATGGATAACAGCTCGGAATTGGAAATCAGAGAGCCGAGCTTCAATTCCAGTTGGATTTGTTATATTCACTTATGTGCAAATATCCATGGGAAATGTACGAATCCACCACTTCTCCCTCAGATATGGGTTAATTAGTAGAACATGTATCAATAAAAATAATTATTATCTTAAAAAACTTTTTAAAATCTAAAAAATATTTTCTGGATTTAAATAACACAAAAGGTTGATAAGCCATAAAAACAAATGAATCAATCAATTTCATGGAAAAATTCTTAAGTATAATTTATAAATATATTTTGTAGCGATTTGTTGTTAATATTGTTATCACAACATTTTGATCAATTCATTGCACAGTCTTCTTCAGACATACAATCTGTAAGGAAAGAAAGGGTTTTTTTTTCTTACAGAATAATGTACCTAAAAAAGGCTATAAAATAAATCAGCTAAAATGTGGTAACCAAAAAACAACAACAAAAAAAAAAAACAGAAAAAAAAAACAAGAACAAGTTCAATAATAAAATGCTTCTTGGAATGTTAACTCTTCTCCAAATTACATGGTATATTACTTGTATAAATATATCCTGAAAATTTTACTCATATCAGTTGATTAATATCAATTTTATTGTATAATAAAATCTGACAGGATGCGGATTCAAATTTTTAAATTTGTTTTTCATTAAGCTATTACATTTACTGTTTTTTTCTTTCTTTAATCCATTTCAGGAAACCAATGGATAGAAGTGGATCCTCCCTCAGCCACTTCCAAATTAATGCAAGTGGCTGTGGGAAAGAATGCTGTATGGGCCCTCAGCAGAGATGGACAGGTAGGGTGTGTCACTGGTTGACCATGATGAAGACAAAAATGAGGCAGTGGATAAAAGAATGCATTAATACTGTGGGACCCTTTTTAAAACCCATTGTATCTAATAATTTAAAAAATAGGTTACACTCATGAAAACTATTCCTCTTGATATTGATTAAGCTTAGCAATTAATGAGAACATGTCTGTTTTGAAAATCAGCATTTGAAATCCTAGCTTCTAGGCTTGGACACCAAACTGGCACCAATGAAACATATGCAACTGTTCCATACAGGCTGGCTATTCCTCTTTAATTAGAAATCATAAGAAAAATGAATTAGATGGGGTCAGTTAGTACATAGTATAATCACTGAAATTATAACATGATCTTATAGATTCTTTATAGTATTTCTTAGGGAGTGAGGCTTACATGGTGGAGCTCATCTCCTCTACAGATTGTACTGACTTGCATAGTATCAATATGACAAGGGAGTAATCTTTAATCTATTATTAGTGGACTCTAGCCTTTCCCATAGATATGGATGCAAAAGTACCTCAGCTAGAATTTGAATCAGTTCTCTGTTTCTGCTTGATCATTAAACCAACTTCACTGAAACTATTACAAGATTAATTGAGAAGTTGAGGCTTTTAGCATCATTGTCTTTATGAAATTCAGTATAATAATCAAGGTTAAATTTTCTTTTGGTGTAGGCTACATACAATAATTATAAGTGAGAAGCTACATTTGAGCACAGCCAACTCAACACTGGCCAAGTTGTCTCTGTCACAACTCAATTCCAAGACAACTCACCACCAACATACTCAGCACAAGGGCAACTCAACATTGGTGTTGAATTCATAGTTTCAGACCAGTGTTGGCTGTCATAATGTGAACATCTCTTTGAATTGTAGAGATTTTGAAAGTTTGGCTGTTTGTCTTAATGATTTATTAATTACAACTGCCTATTTGGCTGACTGTTGTTTAATTTTCAAGATCGGACAAATAACCATGCTGAAGCATCAAATAGAAGACTGTACATAGAGCATCTCATAATGTGGAGATTCATTACGGAGCTGCAAAAGGTGTTAAGAAACTGAGATGCATTTTTCTCACAATTAATGTGGATGTCATCCCCCTCCCCCTAAATTGAAGGAGTCTATGAAGGCAGATGAAAGAATTTTGTAGATTGTTTCTTCTTTTTTCACAATGATCTCCAACTGAATATTTCAGGAGAATTTCGTACAATTTTCAATAAACTTTTAAATTAAAAATGTATTTATATTAAAAAATGATCCTTAATAAATTACTTTTATTCAGTTTTAAAGTTATGTTTTAAAAATGATCCTTAATAAATTTATTTTTATTCAGTTTTAAAAAGTTGATGAAAAAATTTCATCATTTACATGTTGTTGAGTTACCCTCGCAATGAGTAGTCTGGGGGTGAGTTGTCCTACAGTTAAAGATGGAGATGAGTTGGCCGGTATTGAGTCAGTGGTGTTGAGTTGGCAGTGATGAGTTGTCCTGCACCCAATCATAAGTACTTATTTCAAACATTTCTATACTATAGTATTCAGTCTCACCAACATGTTTTATATATACTTATTAAGTAAGTATAACTCATAATTTGGTACAAAGTCACAAGAATGAGGCACCTGGTGAGGATCAAACTCATTCCTAAGTAGTTATGACAGACATGGTCAAAGTTGATAATCATTATTCTACCATGATGAAGTGCCCATGTTATATAGGAAGTGTGTGTGTGTATATATGTGTATACTAATTCCTTATAATAAGACAGTATGTATGTATGTATGGAGAGGGAATATACATATACTTGGCATGCTGACAAAAACACAAAAATGGAAATAGGTCTAAGAACACACAGGGGTCATTAAAAGATAAGAATACAGATATCTTTCCTCACCCTTTCTCTGACCAAACTTAATTGTTTTATCACCCTTCATGCAGAAGAACTTTTTCACTGCCAGTTCAAGGAAAACATTTGTGTCACTAACAAACAAAAAAGAGAATGTCTAACATGAAGAATGATTAACATTGAAAAATGTAAGAAAAATTAATTCCTTTTAATAATATTTGGAAATATCCACTCTTTGCCTGATGAAGGTTGTGAGACCCTAAACACATGTAGCAAAATTATGGAAAATAAAGCATATGTCTTTTAAAAAAAATTCACATTACAACCATAAATATTTGCAGTTTCTCTCTTCTTTTTATCATATATACTTTTCTCTTGTTGGAACAAAATTATAAACTCTTCCCTTATATATATATATATATATTATTTATGCGCAGTACTTATTTGTGACCCTGGGTTTCATGCTCTTTGCGATCATCAGTCTGACAAACAATATATATAATATATATATATATATATATATATATATATATAACCATTAACCTTATATATATATATATATATATATATATATATATATATATATATATATAACCATTAATATATATATATATATATATAACCATTAACCTTATATATATATATATATATAGATATATAAGATATATATATAATATATATAATATATATATATATATATATATATATATATATATATATATATATATATATATATATATATATATAGATATATAGATAACCATTATTAATATATATATATATATATATAGATATACCTGACCATTATCTTTTAAAAATTTTTTTTTTTTTTAAATTGACATCTCTATCCATTTGAATTTTATTCATGAATATAACTCGTGACTGTTTCTAGATAGGTAATCTCTTTTACTTAAATTTTAGTTAAGTTAATATGGGGTAATATTTGAAGGTAATATTAAATATCTTGCTCTGTCGACAGAGCAAGATTTTTCATGAATAAAATATAAATGGATAGAGATGTCAATTTAAAAAAAAAAATTTTTTTTAAAAAGATAAAAAAGATTACTAGAAGTAAACTTATATTTTAAAATAAAATTGTATTCTTTTAATGTATTTTCTATGAATATTTTTCTAATCGACTATTTCATAGAAAATCCTCAAAATTAAAAAAAAAATTTAAATCACTAACAAACTTCAAATTAAATTCTTTGTAGACAATTTAGACATTCAAATTTATATCAAACATTATAATCTTTATGAACCCCCAAAATAACACTGTCTGTCTCCAGGCCTTTTTCCAAAGAAAATTAGTGACACCTTCTCTCATGACTTCCTTCTCTCTTTTTCTTTTTATGGGTTTTTCCCCTCTACCCCTTCAATATCAATATATAACTTCCGTTTAAATGTGTCAATGTCTTGACATCAAGTAATTTTAAGTATAAAAGAATAGAAATTTTAAATTACATCTAACTCACTCATGTCTTCTCTCTCCCCACTCACTTCCTCACTTTATATATGTTTAATACAACCCATCAAAAATGTGTAAATTTCTTTTCATTTTTTGTTTCAACCTTTGGAAGTAAAGTCTGATGATCCGCAGTCCTTTAAAAGGGCTGTGGTGAAATAATTTATTACATGGAATCTTAAAGTGGTCTGTTTTTATTTAAATTATTTGCTCTGGATTTACATTGAGCTCTCTGGATTTTATCCTCCTTGGGTTTACCCATATGGATTACCTAATTTTTCATAAACTATATATATATATATATATAGGTTTATGTGATGTTTTTTTATTAGAAATAAACTCCACAGTTTCTTTTTCTGAGAGTGTATATTTTCCCCACAACGTGTTATGTTTAATCAATATTACACAGAGTAATTAATCATAAATAAATTTTTAATTTTCCCCATGAAGCTCTTTTAGAGTAAAATGGATTAAATATTTGACAATCAACATTTCACTAATCATTTTATTTCAAAATAATAGAATAAAGGTTTGACTTGTTTTGCCAACAGTGACATCGCTATAGTTTTTTTCCTTTACAAATTGTGTGCTTGATAACTCAAAAGTTTTCAGTATTAATAAGCACATATTATTGAATATGTAACTATTTATATAATGGATTTATAGTTATAGAATAAAAATAACTTATATAAACAAATATATTCAATAATGTATTCAGATTTATGTTTGATGCTTTTTCCAGAAAAAAATTACAGGGAAAAATTTTAAAAAGAATCTTACTAAATTTTAATTCCATGTAAAAAGTTTCTAAAAATAAAATGTTCATTGTAGCGTAAACAAAAATGCCACATTTTTTTATTTATCAAAATATTGTCTTTTTTTTTTCCTTTTTTTTTTTAATACTTTAGTTTTTTGCATCTAATTTTTAAAATTGAGATTAATAAAACTTCATATTAGTGGTTAGATTTCAAATAAACCAGAAGTAATTCTGGTCTTATTTTTTCTTTTTAGTTATCATAGTATTTAAAAATAACACCAATAAAACTTAAATTCTTTAAAACATTTATATTCTTTTAGCCTTCATATTTTTCAGAAATAACTTTTTAAATGATGAGAAACAATTACTAATTTGCATATTTATTAGTCATCTTAGTTTCATGGTTATGACAAATAATTATTTTAGTATATGTATAATATTGATTGTACCAAAGTTGAAAATAAAATCATAAAAATACATGGCAAAGTTTAACAAAAGTACCTGCAAAAGAAAAGTGTTAAAAGGACATTTTTTTTCTTCTGACATTGATGATACTGTATACACTCTCAGAATTTTTTGTTTTAAAAAGCTTTTTATAAAATTTTAATAAAACCCAAACATATGAAACTGGATTTATACATTTTCTTTTTTCTTATATACTGTAATAACTGAAGAAAAAAACATTCTTCTGACACTTTTTTTTTTTTTTTTTAGGGTAGAGTTGTTAATCTTTGCCAAATGCATTATGTTTAATATAATAACAAATGGATCTTTTATTAAATGTCTTATTTAAAATTTAATCTTTTTATTATTTCTGATGATTTTATATATATATGATGGTTATTGGTAGGTATGGTTTCGGAAAGGGATCCAGGAAAATGATTTAGAAAATGACTTGACTGCCTTGACAGGGTCAGTGTGGGTTGAAATGGTTGGTCTGATGTCTGTGATATCGATTGGTCCAAATGACCAGGTAAGTGATCTGAAAACCTGATTTGCAAAAGGAAATTTTTTTTTCTTTTTCTTAATCTAACACAAAAGTATATAAATTGACATTTTCACTTGTAACAAAATTTCATTTGAATTCTCATAGTCATTTCACATTATATTCTTTTGTACTTACTAAATAGAACTGAAGCTACAGTAGTGCAATAAATAACTTAAAGAAGCAGATTTTGAATCTGCCTTTTCTATAGAAACTTTAATGTCTAAAATGGATAAATCTCCTCTCCTGCAAAATTTCATCTTTGGCAACAGTTTAATATTAACCCTGCTGTGATGTTCTTTGTGGCTGAGCAGTAAAGCACACTCAATCAAATGATGGTTTCCTCTACAAAACGGGGGGGGGACACGAGTTTGGAGAAAATAAAAATGGAATATATATGTATATGTGTGTAATCTGATCTATTAGTTATTTTCAAAAAATTTGTTTGTGCTATTACAAATGGCATGTAGTTTGCTGAAAGATACACATGTTTTTAATTCCCAGACACAGTACATTATGGCCATGCTTGTAATTGATGTTGTTTATGGCTAATTTTTATTGTTTTATAATGAAGATTTATATTATTTTTAGATGTTTTTTATAGTTTAAAGTGTTTTTGACAAGTATTTTACATATTGAAATTGGTATGTTTTCATGTTCATTTAAATGGACCCTTATAGAGCTATGAACTGAGAGATGTAAGGCCAACCCTCTTGATAAATAAGTAATGGTAGGTCTGATGTAATTATTCATGAATCATAGATTTTAATAATATTCCTTAGAGAAAATTTATCTTGCTTGCAATTGTCATGCATCTGTGTTTGATAAAATATATTAATGTTATCATTATCATTTCTGTGAACTGTGTTATTACTGCTTACTTTCAAGAGGAATGATTTAATTAAGCTGTTTATTATGTAATTTGAGTAACTTATTGATTAATGTTTGCTTTAAGTTACTAAATTAAGAAATAATGTGAGAGCATGAAATCTTGTGTTCTCTTCTTAGGAATTTTTTATTATTATGAATTTGTAATTAAGATGGCAAATTTTACTTGTGGGTTTTTTATATAGTGAAACAGTAAATGTATTATTATTGGATTCTACAAGTAAGGAATGGAATTTTGTTATTGCTAAGTTCATAAGTAACTTTTTATTTTTATGTAGTTATAAGGTTTTTGATTTTATTGAAAGATGATAATATATATATGAAAGGGAAATCAATTTTGATGAAAGATATTTAAGAACATTTAAAAAGAAAATAATCTTCTATTTATAGGTCTTTGGAATTGGTCTGAACAGTGAAGCTGTCTACTATCGTTTTGGTGTAAAACCAGATGAACTGAGTGGCAAGACATGGCAACCATTACAGATAAATTTGCCCCCAGAGCGCCAATCAATGTCGGACACAGACAGCGTCAGTGCTGCTTTTCTTGGACACAGCTCTTCAGCTGATAACAGCTTTGATATCACTGGTTCCACTCCTTGCGTCAACCTTGATGAAAATTCTGCAGAATGTGCTACATTTTATTCCCATCAAATGATTCGGGAACAATTATTTGGGAAAGAGTATGATTACAACATGGAGGGTTACCCTCCAATGATTGGAGGATCTTTACCTGGTCGATTTCCAGATGATGAACCTAATGCAGCAGAGGCTCTGATGTCCCGCAGTGAAGGCAGTATTTGGTATGAGGGTAATAGTTGTAAAACTAGTATTTATAATCCTGGAGACATTGATGTGATACAGGTTGGCAGTCCACAGGCTGCATCGAACCACCTTACGTCACCAAGTAAAAAAATTTTACAAAAAGAAATTGATGTTGAACGGACTAAAGATAAAGAGATTTGTATTTGTAAAAGTTCTGATCAGGACAGCACCAACAGTTCTAGTTTCCGATCCAATGATGACTTTGATGTTTCTCTTAAGATTTGCCCAGTGTGCCATAAAGTGGTTTATAAAAAAATCTTTCAGTCTGACCTGATCAAGCCCAGTAGTGAATTTTCAAAAGAATCTCCTGAACAAACTGAAGGTGATGAAGCAGATGTTGTTTTGAACTTTGTTACTGACTTATTAGACAAGGAAGACAGAAGTGAGGGTATCGATGAGGCAGTCAGCGAGAGCAGTTCAGATGCTCTAGCATCATCCGTCTCGAGTAATATCTCATTACCACCTGTTGACTATGTTACTTGTAGCTCCATGGATCCCATTGTCATTGAAGAGGAGCCATTGTTCATGAAACTTTCACGTGGAAAACAGCAAGACATCCAAAAACAAGTGGAGTTACCCCAGCAGAAACAGGGTCAATTGGAAGAACAATTACAACAGCAAGAACAATCAAAACAAAAACAGCAGCGGGAAACGGGGCAGGTCCCTGATTCAGCCATCATTCCTTACCGAAGAAGGGATGAAGAACAAGACATTTTCTCTGGTGATTCTGAAAAACTGACATGGCGCTGGATATCAGCTATGTCTTGCCTCATTGACAAACCATCGTCTGTTTGCTGGTTTACTTCCAGAAGTAAGATTCAATATTATTCTTTACTTTCTTGTCTCTTTTTATAGCTGAACTTTATCTACTATAACTCTAGTTAATGTCATAGCATAAACAAAACAAATCTGTATAAATAAATATGAAGTCCAGGCAGTGACCTGTTGAGGTTTGGTGATGCCCAGGGCCAACTCTTTGATTGTATATCCCTAAGATTCAAGTAGTAGGAGCCTATAGGGCCTAGTACTGAGAAATATGAGAAAGGAAAACATTCTAAATATGTAAAAACAGATGAAACATGAAATAAACACTTTATTTAAATTAAATTATTCTAATTCATTGAATAAAACCAATTCATCTTGATGAATCATCACCAGTAAAAGAACATTACATTAGTTTCATTTAATATTATTTTACATTATTTTATATGAGGTAAACTCATATTTACTTTATTTACACATGCATAGTTTTTATATATATATATATATATATATATATATATATATATATATATATATATTAATGTAGATAAATCAAATAACTAGATATTAGCAACAGTATATACATGTGTTAGCGTGCATATACAGGTAAATGAATAATTATACTTACTCAGTTTAATATAAGGTGTAAATAAAATAATGATCAATGTGATTAGACAGAGCTAAGAAGTATATATTAATAAATATACATACATACATATATATATATATATATATATATATATATATATATATATATATAATGAAATGGAAAAAAGTCCTGCAATTATTTTAAGACATTTTATGTTTATACATTCTTTTTATAAATACAAATATTTAAGTAAATTCTCTGTTTAAAATAAACAGTATTAATAACATTTACTGGCCTGAATGTCCAAGAAATTTTCATAGAAAATATTCGTCTTCTGACAGGAATCAAACCTGTATCCTATACGGAACTGTCATATAGCCTGACGTGCCTTAACCGATTGAGCCACAGAGGATCATTCGGTTAGCAAGGTCGATTTTACTGCTTTTAAACTATATATATATATATATATATATATATATATATATGAACACACACACTCACACAAAGGGTATTTAAACATGCTTATTAAATTCAATCAACAAGCTTTCTCTGTCTAATTTTTTTACTGTACTTTTTCAATTTTTGGATTTGTTGTACATCCAAATCAGGGTTGTAGATAAACTGTCCAAAGTTTATTTTTCATTTGTTTTTGTATGGGTAATGTTGACTATCAGCCATTACCAAGAACTGAATATTATCAGTATGGAAGACAATTGTCATATGGTAGAAATTATCAGTTCTTGATAATGATTTAGATGGTTGAAAGTACTCAATCAAAAACAGAACAAAAATGTGAACTTTGGTCAGTTTATCTACAATTTTGATTAGAATGTACAATATCTTATTAAAAAATAACAAAAATACAGTCTATGTTATAAAAGAAGATGTGATTCTCTGTCTGACTCATACTGTTTACATGTGACTTTGCATGTGTGTATATAATGTATATGCATGTCTGTGTTTTGTGTGTGACTTACATGTACTTGTGGTATTTAATATACATTCACACATACACTTACAATTTGACCGAGTTTGAAATAGCACATTTTAATAATACATTTTCCTCCCACTCAGTCTGAACAACACCTACTTTGGGTTGAGTAAGAAAATTATAAAGTTGGAGACAAGGAAAGAAACTTAATTTTTTAAAAACTAAAAATTAGACAAGATTTTAAGGACTTTACAGAAATTATTTAGTAAGAAATAGAATTATCATTTTTATTTCTTTATTTTTGTAGAAATATTTTTAGATCTGTCATTGAATTGAAATATACATGGAAATATACATACAAACACAATTTGAATGAAATTGAAGTGTGTCATGAGAGCTAATTTCTCATTCTGTCAGACAGAATAGTAATAGGAAAAGAGTATCAGCCAAAATGTGTGGCTCTTAGAAGTCATTTTATGTCTCCTTCTGTATTTAAACTGAATATATTTTCTAATAAATGAAGTATTTTAAATAGACAAAAAAAAATTAGATTTTAAATATAACATCTTGCTGTTAGCAAAGCAACAGGTGTGTATATATATATATATATATATATATATATAATAATGTGTATGTCTACATAAATATATATGTATTTATGAGAGTAGATGAATAAGTCTGTAACTGTATACTATTATTAGCTAAAGTTTGGTTTGAACTTTCATTATATAATGTTTGATCTAATGAGATTAAAGAAGAAACATTGGATTAAGTGCATTGACAAGGAAGAAGATTATGCTGAAAAATAAATATTTGTTTTGTAAAATAAATGCTTTAGGCTATGGACCTACTGATGTGCCTACATACATACACAGGTGTGTAAATTTATGTCTATACACTAAATTACCAAGACTACTTGCACTTGGTAGGATTAAGAATAAAAAGTTTGAATTTGTTTCACATTGGTTTAGTTTTCCAAAACTCCAAGCTTCTGGCTTTTTTTTTTCTTTTTTGTTTAATCATTTCACCCCAAGCAAAGTGACAATGCCACTAAGATGCAATGGGCTACTGGATGTGAAAGAGAATGAAAAAACTTTAGAATGTTATTATCCCAAGTCACTCCATCTGTATATTTATGTTATAATTCATGAATGGTGATTTTCTAAGTATAGCTAAGATGTGACACAAGGACAAAAGTATGAGGCACTCAATAAGGATCAGAGTCATTACTCAGTCATAATTGTTCTAGTGAAACAAGTTTGCTAACCATTACACCATGTTGGGATGCCCAAAAACACAATTGTCTAGTTACTAAAAACTTGTATTGGTCAATTAATTCCATTCATTCATAAATGATTGCAAATACAGGATTCCTTTCAGCATGTACAAAAATATAGTGTGTGAATAAGATTGCAATAAGGACAATATATATTACAAAAATTTAAAGTCTAATTTGGATTTGTTAAAATATCAAATTTTATTTGAACTTGCTCTTTGTTCACAAATTCTCAAAAACTAAATGTCTTCTTTGGGTCTTTTTTCAGAAAAAATAGCAATATCTTTAATAATATTTCCTGTCCTTAATGTTAATCATTTATTTTTGTTTCTACTAGATTTTTCTTTAATTTTCATTTAATTTTATAGATATTTATTCTCACTCTTTGAACTCATTCCATTGTCTCTTTGAATTTATATCAATGGTAGCCATTTTGAGTCTAACAAACTCTTCTTTTGTACTTTTTTTTGAGTATTGTACCAAATATTTTGCTACAGTACCAAAAAATAAATTTGCAACCTTTCACATTTAAAGTTCCTGCCTATGAATATTTAACTTTTTCATTGGGTTTGGGTATAGTGTGTACACATACACATGCACGCACTGCATTCTATATTGAGGACACTGTCATATGAATATTACTTGTTAGAACATTTTACTAATTAGACAATAGTTTTTTTTCTCTTGCTGGTTATTTTCTAGCTGTTTCAATATTCTGACTTAAAAATTTAATCAATTATATTAATAATTATCTAAATATATTTTTAAAATTTCAAAGTGATGAAATGAAGACTTGAAGATAATTTTTGTGCTTGTTTTCAGAACAATTTACAACAAAACGTTTATATAATCAAATACTTCTCTCTATAATGAATAGATATGATAGAATCTAAAAACTGTCAACATTTTGGTTATTCATTTGTATGGGTTTTGAATATGCCTTCTGATATGAAAAACATATGGTTGGAGAAATTACCAGAGTTAATTTTTTTCGAATTTGAGGTTAAATAAGTAATTTCACTTCTGATTTCAGGACAAGGCACTGGTTCTACTAGTAGTATTATTGATGATACAACTATTCTTCTTCCGCCCTCTCTCCGAACCAATATTCTTCAGAAACTTCAAGCTCGGAACTACAAAGAAGTGACGCAATTCTCCCACTTAGAACATGCAGTAGAAAAGGTAATGTGTGATAACCCAAAATTTTAATTTCATAAACATTTGAAATCTCAATGCAATAGTGCAATTTCAAAGTGATTTTTGTTGCCATCAGGCATTTTAAATGAATAATGAATTAACTGATACAAGTTAGATGCATTTTTTTAAAAAATATCATGGTTCAATGCAGCAAATGGAAATTCCTCTGACATTATTTATAATTTAATTCCTTTTTTATTAAATGCTTTGTTTCAAAATCTAAATGAAGTGAAACCTTTCATATTTGGGATCATCTGTATGTCATTTTATAAATGTCTGACATCTCTACCACTTTAAACTTTGCTTAGCTTCCATATGTAAATCTCAAACTTTGATAAATGCTTAAGCTTTCACTAATCTTTTTTTTTTTTTTTGTTTATATTGCTGAGGAGGATTTCACATATATATATATATATATATATATATATATATATATATATATCTCATTGTTATCATTATTGAGTGTGAGAACATCCCTGCCCCCAAAGTGATACAAGGGTATAAATATATGAAGCCATATACACTCATAAAGGTATACTAGACACATTTATCATGGCCAAATGTGTACTATATAGTGACAGGTTTTAATAAAAGCAGCACATAACCTTGGGGCCAAGTTAGGTTAGGTAACATAATCTGTTAAGTTGGTCGTCTATTAAGGGTGTTTCCAAGCATCTAGATGTGACTCCCAAGTCACGTTGCCTACCTCATCCTCCAAAAAAAAAACAAAAAACAACCCTCTCAACACCTCAAAAACAACTTTAATTGTGCAGAAAAAATTTAAACCGTCCCAAATTCAAGTTTCTTTTTTGATAACTTTGTTATCATTAATAGTATTAAGTAGCATGATAAAATACTTATCATTAATAGTATTAAGTATTATGATAAAAACACAATTAAATTGTTTAGGAAATAAAATAAAAATATTAAAGTTTTAAAAATCAATAAATACCAAGACAAATTAGTTAAATATTACTGTAATTTTTATTACAATCACAATTTTATTTTTATTTAAACATTTTGGTTAAATCACCTTGAATAATTTTATACAGAAATGTTTTTAGGAATTTATTTATATGTTCAGAATAAATTTTATCATACTTTAAGAATTGTGCTCTATGCATAATTTTCTATATAATGAATATCATCACATTCAAAATATTCACAATCAAAATGTTTTTATTTATAATTTCCTGCATTGTGTTGTGACTAAATTTTCCATGTTTGTTAATCATTTTTTTAAGTTCACCTTTGTATATTTATGATGAGCAGAAAACATAGCATATACAAGCCATTTGCTAATGGATCATCCAGTCATCTTTTAAACAAAAATTGACAGAAAAATGTCATTTTTTTGCTTTACTAAAACAAATTTGGTTCTTACAATTAGGTTCTAATGTTTCTCACATTTAGAGATAAATAATACAAATCCTTCAACCTTCATTTTTTATTCATGTTTCATCCACTACTTTAAAAAAGAAGGGCTTAAGATTTATTTATTTTTTTCATTTTTTTTTTGTGTGCACTTTCATTTATTAAAAGTCTGCCACTATTAGTGAGAAGTAAGAATCTTTTTTAAGAAATTATCCTATGTGCCATATCTCTTCTTCACAACTTCCTGTCCCTTGTAGCTCTTAGCAATGTTTAGCTTTTTACTATCTCTCCTAATTTCTGTTCTGCCAGTGGGTCATTCACTGCTTTCCTCAGTCCCTTTTGCCTTCACTATGTCCTGTGAGTGCTAAATTTTCCAAGCCTCCTTTCCTCATGTGTTCTAGAAATTTCAACTGTCTCTTTCTGATTTTAATTGTAAGTATCCTTTTTGTTTTCATTTTCCTTAAAACTTTGTCATTGCTCACATATTCATTCCATGGTATTCTAAGCGTCCTTCTGTAGGACTTCTTCTTCTGTGAGGAAATGGTCCAGCATTTACTGCCATATAGGAAGATTGATATTACATTGATATTACATAACAGTCCAGTACTCTTCTGTTTGTAATGAAAATTTCCTGTTAATACTTTGCCTAACTTTTTGAAGGTACCTTTTGTTATTCTAATGCACCTTTGAATTTTGGTAATTTTTTTTTTGTTTGTTTGTTTTTTTTTTGTTTTGTTTTTTTTTTTTTAAATATAATTGTATTTTTATTAAAAATGTTGTCAGAATGGTCCTCAAAAATCTAAGCATTTGTTTCAAGCATCCCAAACTGGTCCCCAGCACTACTTTGCTTTTATCATGTTTACAGTTCCTTCTAAAATCTACTCCAACTCTATACTTCTAACATCTCTGAAATTTTATTTACTATTTGTTTCTCTCAGACAAACCTATCTGATTTTATTATCATCCAGTTCACACTCATCCCCTGTCTTTTGAACTGGAGTTTTCATTTTCTTTCACTCCCAGTAGCCCCTTGCATGTTAGTGACTTTATTGCCTTGCTTGGGGTTGAATTGATTAAAAAAAAAATGTAACACTTCTAACTTACTTTACACTATTTCTTAAATTGTACTCCTTCATCATTGATCATCTACCCACTTTTCAGTAAACTATATCTGCTAAATATGATTCAAATTGGTTTACAATTTCTGAGTTGCCTATCTATATATCTATAAGTGTACATATATTTGTTAGTTAAAATAAACTGGAGTTACAATAATTGAATACTATTTAGGGGACCACTCTGTAAGCGCTGTAAATTTGTGTATTGTTTCATTTGTTTATATTTTTTATAAATTTGTTTTTAAATCTCCATTTCTCTCCAGGTGTCATGGATAAAGAAGGGTAACCTCCACTGGTTGGAGAATGTCCAGAAATCCAAGTGGGTGGAATGCAGTGTTGAGTTTGAACAAGGCATGGACAGTGTGTGTGACCCTAGTACTTTTACGATTCATTATGTTGTCAAAACCAACCATATGGTAAGACCTGTAAATTATTTGATGATCCTATTTTATTTGTATTCAGGTTATCTGTAGAATTGATAGGGATTGTGACTTTATAAATTGTATCTAACACAAAAATTAATTAAACAATTTGAGTTATTAAATTAATTAATGAATAATTTTAAATGTTAAACTAGTTTAAATGTTAATTGTTACATTAATTAATTAAACAATTAGTTTAAATATTAACTGTTACATTAATTAATTGTTAACTATATGAAAGTGCAAAATGTGTGGTTGGCTGTTCATTTTAGAATATACCTGTCTGCTAGGGTGACTAGCTAATCTCTCTCACAGACACTTGCTCAGGCATATTTGTGTTTGTTCAACACAGAGCCAACCTGTGGTTTATATTACAATTAGGCTGAACAAACCTTAGTTACTGTTTCTTGGAGAAAGCACATAATTTAGTGTGATTGTCATTTGAACAGGGTCAGTACATTCAAACAGTAGGTCACAGTGACTTGTGACTTTGTGCTAGACTTGTGACTTTGTGCTAACACAGCCATGAACTGCTTCTGAACAGTTTCATCTTTGGTCAACTCATGATCTCATTTTCAGGCACTTCCAAATAGTACCACATCCTGGGATCATCTTCTTAGGCCAATATTATCAAGAAGTCACTTTTTAAATAAATCAGCCATAGTGAGATTTGATCCCAGGTGTCATATTCAGAATGCAAATGTTTTAACCATTTGACTGCATAGAAAACAGTAAGTTAAGTTTGAATTTTGACTGAGAATGTTTGGGTTCACTTAGTGCTAAATCTCTTGGGAAAGGTATAAATCTATATCCTTACAGTCTGTTTTATTGCTAGGTATCTTGACAAAAAAAAAAATCAGATATACCACAATGGCTATTACACACATTGACAACCTTGACAACAGTTATTCAAAATATTAAAAACATTCTAAGAATTATCTGGTTTTAATACTCAAATTATCAGTTACTCTTTCCATGCAAATGTGTAGCCAAACCAGCAGAACAAATTTAGTCTGATGAAGTCCTGAAATCACCTGATGAGTAGATTGAACAATTACAAAAAGATTTGTCTACAGAACTCTGAGGTTGAGATGCTGAATATAAATAACATCAATTAGCTAAGTGACAAATTTTATATTTGTATCAAATCTATATACATATATATCAAAGATAGAACATTAATATAATTAATATAAGTAAAAGTTTGTCACTTAACTGATTGATGTTATCTTCAGCCTCCAGAGTTTTTATATATATATATATATATATGGTTGCCTGCAAAGTTAATGCTAATTTTTAAAGGAAATTAAAACAAAACAAAATTATGCCATTAAATATTTATTCAATTAAATATGAACCATTTTGTTGCACAACCTTTCTCCATTTTTCTTCAAACTTAAAGATCCTCTCTTCCCAGAATTTTGGTGGTTTCTTGGCAAAGAACTCATTAAGGTGGTTTTTTATGACCTCAAAATTATTAAAATTTTTACCATTGAGATTATTTTGCAAGGACCTGAATAAATGAAAATCTGAAGGAGCAGTGTCTGGTGAATATGGCAGGTGGGTAACACATCCTGGCCAAGCTGCAACAATTTTTGCCAGGATCACCAAAGAAACGTGAGGTCTGGGATTATCCTGATGGAAAACAACACCTTTCTTGATCACCAATTCTGGGCATTTTTCTTGAATTGCTGCCTTTAATTCAGCCAGTTGCAAGCAGTACTTTTCAGAATTGATTGGTTACTTGGCAGAAGCTCATAATACAGGATTCTTTTCCAATCCCACCAGATGCACAGAATGATTTTCCTAGGATGAAGACTTGTATGAGATGGCTGAAGTTGGCTCATGTTGCTTACACCAGGATCTTTTTTGTTGAACATTGTTGTAAATAATCCATTTCTTATCACTGTCACAATTTGCTTCAATGCAATCCAAAAGATTCTTTTCACTCAGATCATGTGGTACATGATAGCGATTTGAGTACCCAAGCTTCACTAAGTGCTCATGGATGTTAGATTTTGATAATTTAGTGTTTCTGCCAATTTCCGTGTTGTGTAATGCAGGTTATTCTCAGTCAATGTCTTGAGTTGGTCGTCATCTGTAGTGGGGGGAGGGGGTCAGCCTGAGCATTCTTCAATAATAAGACTACAATCACTAACTCTAAACTTAGTGAACCACTGCTGTACAGTTCTGTCAACTAAAGCACCTCCACCATACACAGCACATTTTTTTTTTTGTTGCTTGTGAGGCATTTTTGCCTTTATTGTAAAAAAATAAAAAATAAAAAAGCATTAAGTGTCAAAAATGCACCTTTTATAATCTCCCATTTTCACAGGGATGCAAAATTGACATGAATTAAGTAATTTTAAACTTTCTTTCTCAGGAGATAGTTTGAAGTATGTTCTAATCAGAAGCATATTATATTTGTTGATAAATTTGACATGTTCTAACATATTGGAACATAAACGACTATAAATCAGCATGGATTTCCAGACAACCACATATATATATATATATATATATATATATATATATATTTTAGAGAGAAATTAATACTTTGAGTATTAAAACCTGATAATTCTTAGAACTTTTAAGTAAGTTTGTTAAATTAAATTTTTCATGCTGAATCATATGATGATTCAATTTTTAATTGTGGATTTGTTATTGGAACATAGAAAAATCAGCACATCAAAGTTACATTTGTTTGTGCAATATCATGAAAGTGTTCTAACTTGGAGAATAAATTTCCTGCCCAGTTTGCAATTTAATAGCAATAGTGTGGAGCCTGACAACAAATTAGCTGATTTCTCAAGGGAGATAACTCCAGGTATATTAAATGTTTACTCGTTTGAAAATAATTATAATATAAATTCTGTTAACATGAAGTGACTTGGCATTGAGCTTAATGTCTGCTGATGACAGACTTTAAACTAGTTTATATTAAAAACCAGCAGAAATACTGGGATATTTTCTTCAAATCATATGGATATAAGAAAATATAAAATTCTTTACGTTATCTTACAAACTTGCTCACTTGTTCTTTTGCTCAATCATTATTCAGTATTTATTGATATATTCTTTAAAATATTCAGAGGTAAAAAATGAATGTATTTAGATAAGGTTACCTTGCTAACTCCATTACACCCTGAAAAATCTAGTTAAAATAGAATGAGCCATTCTCAATAAAAGATTTAATATATTCATATACAAGTTTACCTTACTACAAAAATATTTATTTACTTATTAGGTATCCATTATTATTGAACTTGTTTTAGATTTCAAAACTTTTGATATGAGCTGTAGGTATTTTTTTAGTAAATGTTTAATGGGCTCTTGGGATAGTAACCCACAAACAATATTGGCAGTCTCATGTGAGTCCTGGCAAGAATAAGTAACACAATATGGGGAATTTAAACAAACAAATATATTAATGGAAAATATTACAAAAAGGAAAAATGAGAAATGAAAATAAATGTGAATAGTGCAAAGCAACCTTCATTATTTACCTCTGAGGTACTTATATGCTGACAGAGTGAGAAGAGGATATCTTTTTGCTATCAAAGACACCAAGGAAAGAGGGAGATTCTTTTAAATCTTACACTGTCTGTAATTATCATCAGGGGGCAGTAATTCAATGTCTCACTATCTGCAATAAATGGGAGAGGGGGGATCCAACAAACTTACTGTTAACTTTAAAGTAAAAAAGATTTGTTTTCTTTGCAGCATCTGCAAATCCTTTTGAGTGAAGTTTTATGCACCTGTCGAGTTAGTGAACCAAACCGACAAAATCTGATGGCTGTTCATGTCACCCCAGAGGTCAGCCACACTTCTCCTATCCTGCTGTCTGCTACAAATGAAGCTGAAATTGATGATTGGGTAAATTCAGTTATTTCTTATTTGTGAAATTTGGATGTTAATGTATTTGTGGATCTTAAAAACCATTGTTTTAAAAAAAAGGGTCTACCAAATATTAAAAATAAAAAATGTCTCCTTATATTGACCTCCAATGTAAATATAGTTGTTTGTTACAAATGGAGATTCTTTATAATTCAGCAGGTTCAAAGTTTCATTGTTGCATAATCAAGAATAGAATATATTTTCTTAAAAATATCTTATATATATATATATAAATTGTAAACACCGTTATAAATTTAACTTAGTGTAGGGGTCGTATACTTTAAATGATAATGATATGTCGCTGTATTTTTAATAGATTAGTATTTTTATTGCATGATGGTCATACTTACGATATAAGTGTGTATTGTTTACCTGCATAGTGTTATTAGTGGTGGTGTAACTGTGTATATATTTATTTATGTGTTGGTTAGAGTATTTGCACTGAGGAATGTGTAGGTTGGTGTATAAGTGTATTTATGTTTTTTTTTTTATATATATATATGTGGGTGTATGTGTGGGGGGTGTGTGTATGTATATATATATGTGAGTGTGTATGTATATATATATATATATATATTATGTGGGAAGGTAAGGTAGATTATAAGAGTAAAGGTTAATAATTGTTGCTGTATATGTGTATGTGTGTGCCTATATATGTATGTGTGTATGTGTGTATGTATATGTATGTGTATGTGTGTGTATGTATGTATATGTATATATATATATATATATATATATATATATATATATATATATATATATATATATATATATATATATATATATATATATATATATATATATGTGTGTGGTATATATATATATATATATATATATATATATATATATATATATATGTGTGTGTGTTATGTATATATATATATATATGTGTGGTTATATATATATATATATGTGTGTGTATATGTGTATATATATATATATATGTGTGTGGTATATATATATAAAATATATATATGGTTGCATGGTTATGATTATATATAATGCAGTTCGTTATATGGGTGCCCCCCTAATTTCGGCTTTTGTGCCCACGATATATGTATATATATATATATATATGTGTGTATATATATATATATATATATGCATATATATATATATCTGTATGTATATTTTATATATATGTGTATTTATATTTAATATATTTCTGTTTGTATGAATGTGTTTTATATATTTGTATGTTAGACTATATGTATATTGCTGTGTGTTGGTATTTGAAGGTATATTTATGTATCTATATGTTATACGTTTATATATGTATTTGGTTGATGTTGTTGTATTTTTATGTATGCATGTATATATATGGGTAGTTGTTTTGTAGATAGATATATTTATATATATGTTTATTTGTAGATATGTATGTATGTATGTGTGTATATATATTTATGTATGTTTGTGTATGTATATATATGTGTGTGTGTTGGCACCTATTATGTATGAGTTTGTTTGTGTGTATGTGTGGGTATGGAAACTGGTATAATGACTGTCTTTATATATGTAAGTATGTGTGCATAAAAGTCTGTGTGTATATTTGTGTGTATTTAGGGTTTATATGTATATGTGCGTGCATGTGTACTTGTTATCATAGATATGTATATATATATATATATATATGTTTATATATTTATTTGTATGTATTTCTATATGTATATGTATGTATGTGTATATTTATGTGTGTTAATTTGTTTTTTGCCGTGTGTTTATATATAATGTGTTTATATATTTGTATGTTAGATTTATTAAAGACATTTTTATTTTTTGTTTGTTGTTATTTTATAGATACAATAAAAATGTATCTCTGTTTTATGTTAGTACGTTAAATATATGTATTTGGTTGAGTGTTGTTTGTTTTTATGTATGCATGTATATATGGAAGTTGTTTTGTAGATAGATATATTTATATATATGTTTATTTGTAGATATGTAATGTATGTGTGTATATATTCTATAAACAAATTTATGTATGTTGGAAATATGTATATATATGTGTGTATGTTGGCATTTTTTGTTTTATTATGTATGAGTTTGTTTGTGTAAATGTGTGGGTATGGAAATTTCTTAACATATGACGACTGTGTTTTATATATGTTATGAATGTGTGCATTCATGGAAAAGTTTATGTGTATATATGTGTGTGTTAAGGTTTATATGTATATGTGCACGTGCATGTGTACTTGTTATCATAGGATCGAATGTATATGAACGAATATTTTTATGTTTATACATTTATTTAAATGTTATTTAATATGTTTATCATAAACAGAGCATTTGTATATTTATGTGTAAAATTAATTTAAACATAAATAAAAAATGTCTTTATATATATGTATATATTTGTGGGGTTTTTTATCCTGTTTTTCTTTGCCTAATATATAATGAAACTATTATCAACTTATATGATTAATATATATTTTTATTGATATTTATGGTTTTAGAATTTTCGTTTTAATATATTAAATAATATTATTTTTAACCATTTTTATCTTTGTATATTTGCTCCCTTAAGTTATAATTCAATAAGTGGTTAGCATTTATTTAAGTCTGAAATATTTATTGGTTGTGATTTCTCATTGTCTATGTCATTGTCTGTGGATGTATGTATGTGTATATATCGGTGTCTATGTGTATGTAGAGTGTATTCACATTTAACTGTGTGTGTTAGTTTCCACGTCTCCTTTTTTCATAAAGGGCTGTAGAGATGTTCATGTATCCCCCCCCACCTCCTTTTATTTATTTATTTTTTTTTTTTTTTTAGTGTGTGTGTATGTTTGTGTGTGTGTGTGTGGGGGGTGTATCTAATTATGTCTGGGTGCTTATGTATTATAATCTGATTGTGTTTTTGTTGTTTTTACGCGTGAGTTTAAGACCACATTCACAAACTTTAAAATAAAAACGGAAAAGAAAGGGGAAAAGGAAAAAAAAAAAAAAAATATATATATATATACACATGTATTGTCAAAAGACTGGATGTATTGTAGTGTCTTGTCTTGTCGAACATAATTTCAATGAAGAAATGAATTGAATAAACATATATATTTTTTCTTTTCTCAATAATTTTGTAGTTTTTAAACTTAATAGTGATTAAATTTGGATTTTAAACATTGCCAGTTTTTAATTTTAATATTAAATTTTATCATATAATTTTATAATTATTAGTTAGTATAAATTATTTTTAATATTACACGTATTTAAAGATCTGAATAGCTATTATAGCAGGATTTCGTTGTCAAGCTTTTGAATCTTTCTATACTTCGTTTTTGATTGGTTATTCTAGCTTTTGTAACAATGTTTCCCCCTAGTGTAGGATCGTTAATTAATCTGAAACTTTTAAAACCATTTATTTTCTTTTCAACATCATCACTTGATAAGACACAGAGTGTGTTGAAACAAAATGGCTATTTTTGTAGTGATTTTATAACATATGTTATAATTTTTTTTTATAAAAAATAATTACATATATATATATTCTTTTATCTCTTTCAATTAACCTGAAAAATTTCAGTTTGAATTAAGATTATTTATATTTGAGTGATACATGCATGTGTGTGTATAAAAAAAAAAATTCAGTCACAAAGGGGAAAGATATCTCCATACCCCAAAAGGCACTGGCTTGTGTTATCCCTACCACATACTAGAAGGAAAAATGAGAAAAATAGAGAAAGAAGACAGGAAGTGTCCTGTTTTTATAAGTGCTTAATAATACTACCTAACGTCTTGGAAAAACTAAATGGGAGTAACCCACAAGCCCATCACTTGGCATCACAATGTGGAGTGCCATAAATTACAACTCTTGTTCACCTTTGGTTTCTGGAAGGAACACTGTCATATACATCCAGAACATTGTTCAACCCATTCTGTTGTCATTTCTGCAATGGAAACTTGATGTGCTATCCCATCATGATAATACCTGCCTAAATGATGCTGCAATATGCTTTACAAGGTGTTCAAAAACTTTCCTGGATGGTACAATCATAAAACCTGTTCTTTATTGACCATGTATGGGACATAATGGGACAAAGCCTGACATTCAATTGACCTACCTATAACTCTTACTGTATTGGTGCAACAGGTGTGGAATTATGTATCACGGCATGGTTATTTGCTATCTGCATGATTATATACATGTAAGAGTATAGCTCTGTGTTAAACCCTCATGATATATTTATATGGGATCTTAGTACTATTGAGACACTTCTTATTTAGTTAGGGACCTGTGCATATATTAATTTGTATATGAAATCATTTTCTGTAATACAACAACATGACCTGTATGTTTAATCTTGAGTAAATTGAAACACATATTTAACATGCTGCAATTTTATTTTCTGTTGGTGTATTTGGAACTATATAATTTCTTTGTCTTTTCTTCAAATTTAGTCAGAAGGTTATGTTAAGTTTTGAAATGAGATATTATTATAATTTGAAATTTTATTCAGAATTTGTAGATTCTTCATACTTCATAGACATTATATCTATTTTTGGTTTCAAATACATAGCATTTGTATTTATAATTATAAAAAAATAATCATCATTGGCTTTATCTTATATCCAAAAATTTAATTTCTTCTTTGCTGATCACTTCCTTTATGATGATGGCATTGATGACTAAATTTGCCGCCAACATGCAGATCCAGGGCTAGAAGCTTCCAATTTCACCAAAACCTGCTCCTGTCATCCTATTGCTGTTTGTCTCTGCAAGAATTGGTTAGGGGTGAAAGAAAATGAGAGTAGAAGAAAATGGCATGAATTTGTTTAAGGTGGGTCTCAACTTGCCGGGATGTGACCTACACACTTGATTTCATGACCTTTTTCTGTAGAACATATGGAATAAGACATGCAGAATCCAGTTATAAAACTGCAACAGACTGTCACTGTAGCAGGTCTGTCATGTGTAGCCCTCTTCATCCACTGGTTCAACCATTGTGATCTGTTATAATCATTGTCCGCTTGTTCCACCATCAGGGTCTTTGGGGTTAGTCACACTTAGTCTGGGTCCTCATCTTTGACCCTGCCACCAAGCATGGCCATACCAGGAGTTTAGAACTCCCAACAGCATCACTCTCAGAGTCATTGGACAAAAACAATATTAAATACACTTTGAAATCTTAACAGTGATTTTAAAAATCAAAGTTATTGGGTAAAATGTTCTCTTAACAAAGGATGAAGAGCTAACTCACTGAAAAAAATGAAATAAAGGATAATTATTCAGATAAACTGTAAAGTTAGTGTGTGGCACAATGTGTCCCTGCTTGATTAGTTAAAACACCCACATGGTCAAGTGGACTTTAAATGATTTTATCTGTGCCTGGATTAGCCAGCACTTTTATGACAGCCAACAGTAAAATCAAGATGTGAGAGTTTCAAAGCAACCACCTACTGTTCAGGAGTAAGAAAAATTAAACAAATAATAAATAAAAACTTTCTGGATCAAGTGATATTTGGCTGGAAGCTAGGGAACTTCAGTTATTGACTTATATAGTTAGGCTGCATTCTAGAAGTCATTAGCAAAGTCAAACAATCATGGTTTGAATGAGGTGAAATAGAGTCAGATGAAAATAGAGGGTAACTGAGTTCTTGCAGGCCAAAGGGAAGATCTGGTTTGTTAATTTGTTGTTAGAGAAGACAGTTAGCAGTGAAGATGTCCTAAGTGTCACTTATCTGCCTCCAGACAATACTAGATGACCTGATCCATGAAAAATAATGGTTCTTTGTTGAACATACACTGGACCTTTCCCAGTTTTGGTCACATGGGAATTGAATCAGGACATGGAGTAGAAACTGAGGGATCTGGGTATACTTTCATAACTATCCAAAGAGTTGAGTTTCTTCTGTGGAAATTTTGTTATGAATGCTATGTGGTTGAATATTTATTTATAGAAAAAAATAGTCAAAATTGATATTGGGTAATCAAACCATTGAGGTATTTCATTTAAATAGAAAATTTAAAAATACAAAGGGAATGTATTGGGGAGACAATTACAGTAAATATGTTATTTTTTTTTTTTAACTTAATCTCTACAAAAGAGCTGTAATATTGTCTGTAATTTTTCCTTTGTCTAGGTATCCACTATCAACATTGCCTCTGTGTCCAAACACAGATATCTAAGTTTGGGCGTCCAACCAGGCGCTGTGTGGTCAACAATGGTGCGTGGAGACATCTTTGTTTATGACCCTACTAACAGTATGTTAGACAGTGGGTCATCAGGCACCCTTAAAAATTCATGCCCGTAAGTGTATCTTTGTTTTAAATTTGTTTTTGTTTTGTTTTTTTCTAAATAAAGTTTTTAAAATAATTTTTTCATCTGTTAAAGTGGCACGTGGTGGCAGACAGGAAGTAAGGATAAGAAAGAAGAATCAATTTTGCAAGCAAAGAGATTTGTGTTAAATTTAATTGTAAATGATTAATGTGGACTGGGTAAGGGGAAAAGCTGTGTGGGATTGAATGTGCTTATCAAAATATTGTCATCAGTTTATATACCGTTTCCTGCATGCTGACAGTTGTGGTTCTTGTTGATCACTTTCAAGTAACATGTAATAATTCCACTAGGTCTGATGATTAGTATGGAAAAGACTGCTGTAATGTACCAATCTACTCCAGATAAAACATACTCTGAACCAAGCATTTATGTGTATGGCAAAAAATTGCAGTTTGCAGAAAAGTTTATGTATTTGATCAGTATTGTAAATATGAAAAATACTCTTGATGATAAAATCTCACTTTGAATCAAGAAGGCCAGTAATACTTTTGTAAAACTGGATGGATGTCTGTGGTCTTAGCATGGATTTTCAATTGATATGAAGTTAAAGGTTTACAATACTTGTGTTTTCTCTTCATTATTGTATACATGTGAAACCTGGATTACTTACCCAATACACATGAAAAGGCTGGAGTGATTTGACCAACAGTGTCTCTGCCATATATTGAGCATCCAGTGGCAAATGTACATGAAGGATGTTGATATCCTTAAACACAATTTACCAATCTAGAATACTTCAGTGACACTTGTGGTCAGGATGAAGGATGATAGAATCCTTAAGTAGATTCTATGCAGTGAGTTAACAAAAGTAAAAAGACCAGTACACAAACTGAAATTGAGGTATGAAGGTTGCATCAAGAACACACTGAAGAAGGTGTACATCATGCAAAATGACTGGGAAAACCTAACTCTAGATCATTCATCCTGGAGGAAAGCATTACACAATGGTAAGATAAACTTTGAACAGAAATGTGTTGGGCATGAAAAACTCAAGATAGATATTTGTAAGAGTCTTGATGTTAATTTCCCTGAAAATTTTGCCACAGAATTTAATCTAATGTGCAATGAATGTGGTCATGTCTGAGTAGGCCTAAAAAATAATCAGATGCCACACACACACACAGAGGTCATTACACTTTATATGATATTTATGCAACAACTACAGAAAATGTAGCCAGATGTTGCAAGACCCTAGCAGAAATACTGTAAGGTCCTAGATACAAACTTTGTTTTCTGTAAAAGTATAAAATATGAATGAAGGTGAAACAGTAATTTGAGTTGATAACTTTTACATTATTCCTTGTGCTGTTTCTTTTACAGAAAATGGATCCCAGTTGGTGGCCACTTGCACCTGGTGGAGACTAATCCATTAAATGTTAGCTGGGGAATTGGTTATGACAGCACAGCCTGGGTTTATACAGGAGGATTTGGTGGAGATATTTTGAAAAGTATGTACCCATTTTCCAACCCTTTTTATAATATGCTTATTAAGAATGTAGCTATTTAAAAAATATTCAATAATATGCATTTGTAAATGTAGCACAATTGTCCAAGCAGAGAATGTTTGGTTAATAAGTTTTAGTGTGCATTTCTAAGATGTGCATACAAAATAAATACGTAAATACATTTTCATGCATATATGCATATCCATCTAGATATATGTCACTTGCTCATTATACAGTTTAATAAAGCTTAATAGTAAAATAATTAGAGCAGTAAGGGAATTTGGAAAGAATGAACACATCTTACTATTTATTGATGTGATATGTAATGCAGGACAATTGCATTAACCTGACATGCATCTACTTCTTATTATGTGTAATGATATTATCTTAATCCCTTCATATTTTAAACTATTTTTTCTTTAGGTGTTTCTGATGCCAGTTGGCGAGTACATCCCCAATCAGATGTCCGCAGTGTTTTTATCTATGAAAATCAAAAATGGACCCCTCCGTATGGTTATTCTAACAGGTATCACTTTTTTCTGAAATTTATAGGTTTTGTTGTTATCATTATTATTAACCATGCACCAGGTGTTTGATTGTTATTTTTGGAGTTTGACAGAAAATCTCAATACTACAGTACTAACCTCAGTATCCCAAACCATTCTCAGTAGTTCTGTTGTTAAATGGTTTTTGATTCTTTTCTCTTAGAATATAAGATAGAATTCATCAAAAAAAACTTATCAACTGTGTTAAATTAATTTCTTCCTCAAAAATAATTTTCTATAAAGAATTATCTAAATAAACACTTAGTAATACAAAATCTTTTATCTGAAATCCTTGGGACTGGAAATGCTTCAGTTTGCAGATTTTTTTTGATTTTGGAATACAGGCGATTTAATTTGTATATAGCATTTATAAAATGTGGCAGCTTGGGAATAGAAGCCAAGCATAAACACAATATCCCTTTACATTTCATAACACAGCTTATACAATTACTCTGAAAGTAGTTTTATATAAAATTGAATAAATTTTGCGTACACACAGATACAGGTCTCATCATGTAATACTCACATGAATTTTAAAAAATAATGTCTTTTACTTTCTGCACATGTATAAAAAAACATGATCACTACTTACAAAAGTATATAAATGCAGGACTTTTTTATATTTTAAATAATATCATTACTGAGCACAAAACACCTGGTAAGTAATCTACAAATAAAGGTGTTGCTGTGATGATCACTAAGTAAAAACTGGTGCCAACATAGGCTACGTAGCTGGGCTCCCTGAAATTTTCCATTTGTGCCAAGTCATGTCAGTACCTGAAAGACTTTTGGATTTTGGTGTTTTTTTTTTGTTTTTTTTTTTTTGTTTTTTTCAGATTTAGGAATTTCAGACAAAGGATATTCAATATGTAATGGATTTCCTAATCACTTTGTTGATGAACAAATAAAACAACGCAATTAAAAATTGTAACTTACTTAATTAATTTGATTTAAACCACAACAAAAATACTACTAACTTATAATGCTATAACAACACAATGTACTTCAATTAAGATAAAAAAGCAGTAGAAAAATCTAATCCATAGATATATATAACTCCTGTGGATGGTAAAAGTTGCTTAAGATTCATCATATACTACAAAAAATTCAAAACTTTCAACACTTCTCTACAGAAAACTAATTTGTAAAAGACCAATGTTGCCTGTCCAGAGTATGATGATAAACTACATTTGGCAACAAGGCCTCTGATTGGGAGGTTTTGAGGAGTGTGGAACCACCTCTTAATTTGCTGTTTTTCTGAAGTTCACCCTGACCTGGGGTGGTAGCATCTGTTAGGGTTCCAGCTATAGGCAAATAGTGAACTCCCAAACTGAGGTCAAAACATTATGAATGTATAAAAATACATTTTTTTAGTAAGAATACCAACAATAAAAATACATTTTTTTAGTAAGAATACCAACAATACATTTTTATAGTAAAAAGATATTACCATCAATACATTTGTCAAAGAAATTAGTAATGCTCCGTGAAAATTCAATTTCAGCATTAAATAACCCATAAGGAGTTGATATGCTGCTAATCAAACTAATGTTGCATACCAGTTCTCTTGTCCTTTGGAAAACTTTTATCTTTGTTGATAATAAAAAAAAGCATCAACATATATTGCTTGTGCTACAACATTTCTCTTAAGAGTGTCATCTTTCTGAGCAAAGTGCCATACGTAAACATAACACAAATCCACAGTGCCATGTCTAACTTCAGTCAAATTTTGGTCAACAATACAACAGAAAGCAACTCACTACCAATAAAATTAGTTTCAATCTAGGTACATGTGTTGAAATACCTTTGTGCAGTAAGATTATTTTGCCATGTGTTGCTATATTTTACAGTCATAACATAAACACAGGTTATTTCAAACTTTAAACTATTAACAATACAAACAGTATACTGGTGATTGCTTGACCTTCTTTCCTTGAAAATGACCAATAATTGTTGAAAGTACTTGGAATATAAAACATAATTTTGATAAATTTCTTTACAAGTATCCACTAATTTACAAATTTAAAACTACATATTCTACAGCAGGTGAAATCACCAAAATGCTTAACCAAAATTCTGTTTACTGGAAAATGTTTAAAATATTTTATACTGCAACTAACTGGGTAAGTAGAAACAGCTACTAGACCTGAGAAAGCTATTTTCCTGAAAATTGTTTTAAGAGAAAGATTTTATAAATTTGAACCAAAATTAGTACTGGCTGCTTAGTGAATGATGTTGAATGTTTCCTTGTAAGGAAATGGTTAATATTACCATTACCTCTCCCCTTCACAGAAACTTTTCCTTTCCTTCACCTCATCTTCTCCTTTGTTTTTTTTATAATTCCTTCCCACTTAATATTATGTATGTTTCTTAGTAATAAAGCATAGATGATTTCTATTCAGAAGAATCAGGTATCTGGCAGATAATACATTATGATCCTAGGTAGAAAGCATAACAGTCATATAGGCAAACAAACAGAATAATAAGAATCAATATGGACAAAAAGAGAATAATTAAAAGTATAACAAAAGAAACTAAAAATTTTGTATATTTAAAAAATTAAAAAAAAAAAAAACAATAGAATTTGCCAAAAAATATTCAGTAGCAACTTTTAATAAAATATTATTCATTCTAAGATACCTTAATTGGAAATACAAATATAAAAGAATATTACCTAAGCTAACTTAAAATAATTTATTGAATATGTTCCAAGGGAGATTACGAGTATAGAGTGGTTTAATTTACCTTAGCCATTATTTAAAAAATTATTTTACCTGATTTCTACTTATTCTCTAGTATAGTTTTTCATGAAATGGATAAGTTGGTGCTTAGACTAAAAATAACAATGAACCCTTTTCTTTGGATAGAGAATTTTACTTTAATTAGCTTTGTTACATAAAGCACACTTCCTGAAATTAATTGCTTAATAAGTCAATGCTATATTGCTTGGTTATTCAGGGGCTTCATGGCAGATGGTCATGATTGGAGTGACCGGTCAGGACGCTACAAACGGACCAAAGAAAATACCCAACTTCCATCTGGTCAATGGGTCTGGGTAAGTAGAAACTCATTTGATGACCCCATTTAAAAAATCATTTACAAATTTATAAAAGGCAATAGGCTGGAAAAAATACCAAAGTAAATCAAAGTTGGTTTAAAATGACAAAAATAAATCTTCCTAAAATTATTTAGGTTTGTCTTTTCTATATCCCTCCTAATACTTGTTCTGCCAACTATTCACACAAACTTGTTAAGTTATTAGTTATTTTCCTCTGTCCCTCTTGTCTTTATGTCTATATTGTCTTCTGTAATTCTCCAAGGCCTCATTATATGTTCCAGAAATTTCAACTTTCTTTTTCTGATTCTAAGTATAAGTGTTCTTTTTGTTTCCATTTTCCCTAAAACTTGTTCAGTCTATGGTATTCTCAGCATCCTTTTATATAACCACATATCTGTTGCCTCTTCATCTGTGAGGAGATTGTCTAGCATTCATTACCATATAGGAGAACTGATATTACATAGGATATTACTTGAAAATATAATGGTCAAAAAGAGTATTGATTATGGCTAGGTGTTGCATAGCCCCTTGGTGGGAGTGGTTTCATCTCGGCTTTTACAATTGGCTCACGATCGGCAATCGTTTTAGTTTGGCAATGAAAGACTCCAATACATAGAATGTTAACCTAACTATCCATTGGGAGTCATTCCTCCTCACTGGGGAGCTATTTCAGACATAAACGCAAATGCGTCTACATTGCTTGACATGGAAGAACCAACTCACTGAAAAACCTTTCTCTATCATTCCCACACTAGCTCAGCCAATCAAAATCAACTTATCATATTATGGCTTGCATCTGACCCCATGGTCAATGTCAGGAAGTCAGAGCAGATACACTTCCTCTAAAAAAAATAATAGCCTGCTAAACTATTATTTAACATAGGTCCTCATATCTTAAATGTCAATAAAACAATCATGGATTCTTTCCTTGTTCATTTGTTATACTTGGCTGATTAAGATACAAAATTCCCTATTACTGAAGATGCTTAAATAACTTAAGTAACTTTCCTAGAATATACATACGGAACATCAGTCATCTTGGATGTGCAGGTGGTGTAATGGATAGTGGCTTAGAAAGAGAAATTGGAGAGTTGAGTTCATTATATTCACTTATGTGCAAATATCCTTGGGAAAGGTATGAATCTATCTTTTCTCCCCCCAGCTCAGGATGAAATAGCAAGGCAGACTGGGTTCTCTAGCCATAGTTGGCAATCAGTTGAGAAGGACAACTCTGAATTTAAAATCATACATGTCCCTGATGCAGCAATAAAGACAGCTTAAGCAAGACCTCTATTAAGTTTCGACCAAAGTCCTTCATCAAAAACAACTCACTGAATAAAAGTTGTGCAAGAATCTATGTAATGGATTATGCAATTATTGCATTTTTGCATTAGTCAAGCAATCATAATTTTTCATCTATAACAGTCATAGGCAAACTGCTTCCTATGGGCCATATGTGGCATGTTTGGCTTTGTGAATAGCATGCCTAATTACATGAGGAAAATAACCTTTTTTAAAATTTGGTCTGTTTCATTTCATTTTAACTTGTTCACACACACTCTCTCATACATAACCACATATAATTTTATCATTTTAAACAATTGGTGATTTTTTTATAAGGAAGATCAGATATGTAAATATCTTTTGCTTTAGAAACAAGGAATCGTTCATAATAATTTTTTCTCTGGAAAAGAAATATATTTAATATATTAAGTATACATCTTATAAGTTTAGATCACATCACAAAAATCTTCAAAAAGCCAATGTTAATATACTAGAAACTTGATGTATACAAAGTGGTTACAAGTTGTGTGATATCATATGCAAATGAGGAGGACAACATAAATAGAGAGCAGAGAGTGAACAAGGCAGCATTAGTGAGTGAACCTGTTTGCTAAACGTAACGTGGAGAACTGTACTATGATTTTTACTACTTAGAGAGAAATATGCATCACGACAATGGCGTCACCAATAGGATCTTTGAATGAGCTGGAAGATCCCGAACACATAGAGACATGGATCAGAATTTTTTTGGCTTTTATTAGAGTAAAAAAAACTAATAGATACCAAGACTGAAAGGGGAGAAAACGAGATAACGGACTTATTTCTTGCTACTGCTGGGTGTGAAGTGGTGAAGAAATTTTTAACAATGTGTTACCTGAGTGAACTAGAACAAATGAAATCTGAGGAAATTGTCAAAGTTAAAAAGAAGAACATAAGACCAAAGAAGAGATTGGTCATTACTGAAAGAACCAAGTTTTTAGAGACAAGACAAGCACCAAATGAGTCCATTGTACAGTACTTATATAGGTTAAAAGAACATATTAAGTACTGTGAGTTTGAAAAATTGGGAACTCAGGAAATGACCATAGAAGATGAGTTAATTCTTCTCAGAATAATTAAAGGTTTGCAAGACCAGAACCACAAATGAACAATACTGGAAGCTTTACAAAGTTGTAATATGACTTTGGAGGCTAGCGTCAAATTTTTAAAACGAAGAAGAATTCGATGCATATTGGATGAGCACAACCAAACCTATAATTAAATGTAGATACTGTGGAAAATATCACGAGAGAGACAAGTATAAATGTCCCACGTTAGGAAATGTATGCTGAAATTGCAAAAAAAGAGACCATTTTCAGAACGTATGCGAATATGAAAAGAAAATAGAAAGAGCACAAAAAGTAAACCCCTCTTCCATGAAGAAGAAGCTGAAATATTTACAGTGAGTAAACAAAAAAAGGATGAGAGAAAAAATAAAGATAAATGGCCAAATGTTTAACATGCAAGTTGATACAGGCAGTGAAGTCACCTTGATACCAAAAAAATTTTGGGGTCAAATTAGGACGGCCTGAATTAAAAAAAAGCAATATCCAATTGAAGCAATTTGATGGAACAATGGTAAAATTAATGGGTACATTTCAAGGCAATTTTGAAACAGATATGCGTTTTGAAATAATTCCCATTACAGTGGTAGAATGCGAAAAAGATCACGGATTACTAGGGATTGATGTGTTAAAAGTAGATACAGCAAAATGAATCAATTCTATGGAAGTATAAAATGAAATTGGTGTGTTAAAAGGCTATAAAGCAAGTATTCGACTAAAAGAGAATTATCACCCAAAATATATAGAATCGAGAAAAATTCCAATTCATATCCTACCTTTGGTGGTGGCCAAGTTAAACAAAATGATACAACAAGGCATACTAGAAAAAGTGACTCAAGGTGGTAGCAATTGGGCATCACCAATAGTAGTGATAAAGAAACCTGATGGAGATTTAAGGATTTGTGTTGATTACAAAATAGGGGTAAATCACCAGATATGTTCGGACTCTTTTCTGTTGCCAAGTATTGAAACTGCAAGCCACGAGTTAGCAAAAATGGGACACTTTGCAAAAATTGATCTCAAGGCAGCATACAACCAAATAGAAATTGATGAATAATTCAAGGAAGCAACTATGATAACCCCCCCCCCCATAGGCTTGCTAAAGTGGATGTGTCTACTGTTTGGCATAAAGACATCGGGTCACATTTTTCAGAAAGCGATTGAAAGAGTCTTATTAGGAAAAATAAAAAATATGATAATTTACCAGGACGATATATGCATAGGAGCAAGAACCAGAGAAGAACTGAAATATAAAACAGCAAATTTTAATGAGGTTGAATAAGGCAGGCATGACTATAAACAAAGACAAATGTAGTTTTGACTGCAAGAAGATATCATATTTAGGATATCAAATATTGAAAGAAGGCATATCACCTGATGAAAGATTAACAAAGAAAATAACAGAAATAGCTCCACCAACAAATAAAAAGGTGTTAGAATATTTTTTGGAGCTGATAAATTTTTATAGTAAATACATTCCAAGATACAGAGCGATGTAATAGAGCCATTTGCAAAATTACGTAAGAAAAATAATGAATTTAACTGGACACTAGAGCAAACTATTGCTTTTGAAACAGTAAAGAAAATACTTAGGAGCAAACCAATAATAAAAGTTTTTGATCCACAAAAAGAAGTAACATTAACCACAGACACAAATGAAAAGGTGATTGCTGTCATCGTATTGCAAGAAGAACACCCAGTCATGTACATATTAAGAAGGTTAACGCCAGCCAAGATTAATTGTTCAAATATTGAAAAAGAAACATTGGTGATTATATAGAGCATGGAAAATGCACAAAACTTTTTGATAGGAAAGAAATTCTTATTAAAATCGGACCACAAACCATTGGAATTCATATTTAACCCAAGAAAAGAATTGCCAAAAGCAACATCATCAAGAATTCTGAGATGGGTGATAAAGATCATGGCATTCAATTTTGACATAATGTATGCTAAAGGGAATACTATCCCTCATGTAGATGCGTTATCAAGATTGCCTTTCAAGAATGAAGCTGAAGAAAAACGAGAAAAGGTGGAAGACAAAATAATACACTGGGTTGAAATGGACGTTCTTCCTCTAAATAGACTCAAAATAGAGACAGAGCAAGACCCAGTCTTAAGCAGAATAGTGGAGAGAATAAGAAATAATGTATGGAGCAAGTGTTCGATGACAGAGCAGCCCTTTAAAGAAACGAAGCACAAACTGACAGTAGAAAATTTTCGTAATGGCTTCTTAGTCAGGCAAAGAACTTTTCAGCACTCTCTAATATATTTATCTACCTGTACACCATGCAAATGATGCACTTTATATTATTTTGTTTAAATGTTTACATTGCCTATAAATATTTATGCATTAGTTTTATTTTTTTTATAACAGATGGCTGACTGGGCAATAGATTATTCTGTACCTGGAGAAGTAGATCCTGAAGGTTGGCAGTACTCCACAGATTTTCACAGGTCAGTAGCTAATTCAAAAAGTATACACACCTTCATTTAGTTCCTTTCAATTAGACAATTTTGGCCAAATGTCATTGAATTAATCAAATGAACCAGTCAGATTCTACTGAACGAATTTTTTATCAAAAGAATAAATTTTATCACTGAATTTTGAAAGTACACAAATAAAATACAGAGTTGCATTTTATGATACCATTTGTAAGTAACCAGGAATACATGATATTTGCATATTTTTTCAAATCAATTAAAATGTTTGTAAGCTTAGATATAATTTAAAAATATGAAATATTTGTTTTTATTTGTTTAAACTAATTGATAAAATATCCATTGTAATTAAAGAAAGTTCAACTTATTTGCTATTTACTCAAACTCAAAATAAAAAATGCCTATGCAAGCTTTAGAGAGATTTTTTTTCCTTAGTCACTAATCTGGAATTGATAAAAGGATAGCCACATTAATAATCAGATATCATTAAAGTTAAGATTATAAATCTGAGACAATAGAAATATTTTACTTATTATATATATATATATATATATATATATATATATATATATATATATATATATATATATATACACACACACACACACAAACACTCTTAAAAAGTTCCGTAACATGAGTGTGTTTTCATTAATAATTATTTATTGATAATAATCTATATGAGATCCTCTTGGTGGATAAATCAATAATTTTTGCTGTAAAGACATCATTTTCAAATTTATTTTTCTCATCCAAGAATAAATTCTTGGTTACAAAATGTAAGGAAAAGAATTAATCTGGTAATCAACTATTTTTAATTATAGAAAATTGAATAGTTTTTATTAACCATATTTAAATCTGGCAAGGTGTTTTTGAACTTGAAATAATTAAAAGTTAATATAAATCTCTTTGAAAAAAGTACATCATAAAAAATTAAAGAAGGAGTAAATACAAAAAATGATTGAGAAGAAAACTAAAATGTGCCAGATAGTTTTAATTCTGGAGCCAGAGAATAAAATTTCGGCTTTAATAAATGGCATGACTAGATATTAACTGTCTGAGACACCAATTTAAAAGTAGCCATCACCTAACCACATTAAATGTCACACAGATTAAAAAAAAAAATGCAAATTTGTTAATCTTTTGGTGAAAATACTTTTTGGACTATTGCCTGTTTTGAATTTGTCCTGGCAATTTGTCTTTTTTTTTTTTTTTAACATAGGAAAGTATAATGGAAAGAAATTTAAACAAATCTTTTCAATCTTTTTTTGAAACTCCTTACAAGAAGCATTCTCAAATATACTATTGTAACACTATATCTGGGGATGGGGTAGTAATCCAGGGGTTTGTTTATTCATGGCTACTATAACAATTTGTTTTCCTGTGTCTCTGCTCTGTCCACATATCATGCTTATTCTCTGCTGGTCTCTGTAGAAGTGACAAAAGCATACCATGCACCTGTATATATGGAATTCAGTTGGCCATTTTGTCACCAATAGTGTATAAGTATGATTTCACCATTAATTTATTCTCTCTAAAGGTATCCTTTATCCTGAAGAGCCCCTGGCCATCTTGCCATTTGGCAGAGTTCTGATAACCTAATTTCTGAAAACTATTCTTCCTATGAAATTACAAATATGACTTTATGTAAACAAGATATACAGCTTGACCGAGTTTTTCAGAAAGCCTTTTTTCAGGACAGAAAATGGTTTGACTTGAATAACTAAGGCTTTTAATTATAAAAGCCATTAACAAAACAATTGTCTATTTATAAAAATTACAAGTGACTATATTAGGAATGAATAACAAAAAAAGTTATTCATAAAATTTTAATTTTTCAATCTGATATGCAAATTAATTATCGCCATTAAGCAACAAATATTAAGTTGGACAAGATGTAAGATGCATGTTGCTAGATATAAACAGCATTTATTTGATATCACAGTGTTATGTAATAATTACATATTTACACATACATGTACAGGCACTCAACTTTATATATTTCACTAATGTTTAGGGTTGTGCAAAGACACATATAAACTTTAAATTTTGTATATTAGATTTTATACATTATTTGTACTATTCACTTAGAAATACCTTTTTAATACTATTGTACATTATAGACTATACAGAAGCACTTCAGCTTGGTGTCTTGTGTATCATGTATGATAAATGGGGCTGGGATATGGTGAAATAGTCTATAAAAATGTCCCTTTAGATTTCTTTAGCACTTTGCCTACAAAGCTTACATTGCTATTTGATGTTATTGAAACTGTGTTAAATGATGCATTAGATTTCCCTTACCTAGAGGGAATTTCTCTGTTGTGAGGTAGGCATTTATAGCAATTAACTACTTTCCTCTTCAATCAAATAGTGGAAAGCATATTACTCTTGACGTGAGCTCCTTTCTAACCATCAATACTTTAAGTTAGAAACCTTAGCAATAAAAAATAAACAACAGCAATACACAGAGATATGTTCACATGTAAAATGGCAAAGTATACTCAAGTTCTTCTCAGAGTTTTCTTTTTAGCTTAAGCGTCATTCAAGAAATTTAATAAATATATTCTTTGTATATTTTTTTATACAGCTTTGATTTTATTTAGATAATATTCCTAAAATTTTGTTAATTTTTTTATTTCTATATATTAAAATGAATAATATATAAGCAGTACCCATGAAAATTCCATGGTTTTCTATTTGAATTTTCCAATGAATTATAATTCTTAATTTAATGATTGAATAAGATCCTTGTGAGTGCCATGCTTATAAAATGTACATAGAAATTTACCTGTTGCATTATTAGATATTTGAGCTTAACTTTAACAAAATATTGCAATAACAATCATAAATATGAATGCAGGTAATTATTTAAATAAGAGGATACAAATGAAAAGATTAAAAATTGACAAGTTTTTCTATTTCACTGAAGCACACTTTAAACAGATGAGAACATTATCATCTCCATCTGCCCTTTCTTTCTCACTCAGTGTCTCAGTGACTCAGTGTCTCTGATATATTACTTTCTATCTTTCTTCACAATCAAATGGTACTCACCACAAGACTTGAACATAGGTTAATGACTGTACCCCTCAGTGGAGCTGGAAGAGGATTCCACAAATGAGAAGTGCAAGAAAATAAACTGTTAGCATAGAACTTATGGTTACATCTAGCCAACTTAACCCTAAATTGAGGAGACCTTGTTGCCATTTTAGTACTGCACTTAAATTCATAAAGTCTAGGTACCATAATGAAGAGCTCATCCAAACAATTACCATGAAAGTATTTATAGAAAAGGCACAGGGAAGCAACCTTATGCCAGTGAGAAAGTGACTGAAGCTGAGATGCCAGGTCAGGACCAATAATATTGCTGATCATTCATTTTATCAAGAATCTTTAAATGTATAGCAGGAGCACTGGACCATATGTGGCTGCAATATTCTAAGCATGGATAAATGGTAGACTTATAAATATGCAAGATAGATTCTGGAGAGAAAAACTGTTTAGCACAACAAAGTGAACTAACTTTTTTAGCAGCTGATATAGCAATGGATTCAATATAGTTTTTCCCCTTCATGTCAAGAATGTTAGTCTGAGAAGGTGTGAGTTACTTTCCTGGAGGTTAGCATTAGTGATGCTGATGGAAAGCAGAAAGAGGTGTCTCAGATGATTAATAGAGAGCAGTTTTGTTTTAGAGGCGTTAAAATTAACAAGCCAATCTTTGTCCAGTTTTTTGATATTGGCCACTAATTTGACCTTATTGAAGTGATCAGACTTAGTATTGAGACAGGAGTAAATAATTGTCATCAACAAGCAAGAGAGCTGATGTCATTGAGAAGGTTGTTAATGAAAATTATAAACAAAATAAGACCAAGGATAGATCTCTGGTGACATCTACATTAGTACGTAAATTACTGGATTTTAATAAAATTTGTAGTACTTATTCATTTATGGGTTTTTTTTTTATAAAAATGGCTATTTTGTAAGAAAAATTTGTGAGAATAATTTTTAAAATTTATTATTATTTTTAAATTATTCCCATAAATTGGAGAATAACAATTGTAATAGAGCTAAAATAATTTTTCTAGAAAATTTGTACTTTTTTTTTTTAATAAAATGTATTGTAAACTATAAAGTTGTAAAAAAAAAAAAAAAAAATATATATTCACTCAAAAATTCATTAAGATTTATTTTCAAAAATTCTGTCTATGAATAAATGCTTTTTGTTAATATTTTAAAATTATTTATTATTATTCTCCTGATGCTCTTCAGAAATGTAACTGAATAAAACTGTTTAAATAATCAAAGAATGTACCAAAATCCAAAGTTTTTTTAATTTGAATAATTAATATTAATATTTTTTTATTACATACACATGTTAAGCAATTAACCTTGAGAAATAGCCCAACGTTTGTATGTTTATTTTTTGTCATATTTATGGCAGAGTAACAGGTTAAGTTCAGTAGCATACTCTCTTTGATAATAACAACCATACATCATTGGAATGTTACATTGTTTTTCTGCTGTAATTGATGCTACTTGATTATTTTAGATTTTAAGATGGGATTTTTTTTATCTGTTTGAGTAGTATGAACCACATATATCACCATGAAAGTAGTTTTATAACACTTGGTTGAATATCTTATTCTATACAACTGAGATGTATAACTGAATGTAATATTGTATTGTAATGAAAATCTGAGCAAAAATTCTTAAGAGGAGATAACTGCTTATCAGAAAGCTTAAAAGATCTGGTCAGTTTGCAAGAATCATGGCAGAAACTATTTACCTGAATTTTTTTACATGAAACTTGAAATCTAAAATTAGACTACTCTTGCAGTTTATACTAAATTTGCATATATATTAGAGTTAATATTAATTAAGAGAATTTTTCATTAAAAAAACCTGTAAGTATACAAAAAATATATAAGAAATTTTTAAAAATCACATAATTTTGCAATCCTGAAAATAAGTACAAAATAGTATTTATAAAAATTTAGAATATATGCAAAAGAGGAAAAAAAAAAAGAAAAATGTTATTTTTTTATTGTATAAGACCATGACCAATATCTAAATCAGTTTGGTTAAAATCTGATTAAGCTAAAAAGCACACAATATGTACAGATTTTATTGCTTTTCCTATTTTAATTCATAAGTTTATAATTTAATATCTTTTCTTAATTTATTCTTGGGAGATGAAAACAAAATTAGAGTGTGCCAGAATGCAAAAACTTCTATCTCTATGAAAAAAAAAAGTTTATACAAAAATTATAGTCTGCTGCCTTGACTTTCATGCAAATGCCCTTGTGGAAGGCATGAATCCATCTGATCACTTCCATCTATGTGTTAAATAGCAAGGTAGACTGGGCTCCCTAGTCATGGGGGGCAGCCAGTGTAAGAGAAGGACTTCTCTGAATTCAAAATCATGGAGAAGGCCACAAGAAGCCACTCCATTATCTTTTTCTAAAAGTCATTGCAATTCATAGATAATAGAGAGAAATCTATAGAGAGCCATAATTGCCTATGCCCTGAAAAGACATGGCATTAAAAAAAATTGATTTTTTTTTAATAATCCCTTCATACATTTTCATATTTGTTGGAATAAATACTATTTCAGTACCAAGTATTTTAGCATTCAATATTAGTTACTTCATTTGTCTTTACTGTCTTATGCACTAATTGACCATTTGAATTCTATCAGTATTCTTAACTCTATGATGAGTTCATTTGAATAAGTTACCTTCATTTGTGGAAGCATTACTAAGTGGTATAATGATTTCTTCATGTTCTAGATCTTTGAATTTCAAGGATTTCACATCTTTTAACCTTTGTTAGGAAATAGAATGAATAATCTGTTTTAAGAGTCTTGGATTATGTCCCACAAACAATATTTATGGTTTCATTTCAGTCAGGCTAAATAATAATACAAGGGGTAATGAAATAAACAACATTGATGGCAGTTTGACAGAAAAATTCAACATTACAGTTGATGATATAAAGAAAGAACAAGTCATGGATTCAAGCATAATCACAAAATATATTAATAAAAATGTTTATAGAATTATTATCCTAGTTATTTTTTTTTTTTTGGTGGGGGGTATAATTATACAGGAAAGAAAGGAACATCATTATTTAAAGTCATTAAATGTTTATATAAAATCCTTAGTTGAATTTTCTGTGTCATGAGGAAGTGAAGTGTGTGAATGTGAGTGAGTGAATGAGAGAGAGAGTTACATTTGTGACTAGCATAGAATGACAGCAAGTTTTTTCAAAAATTACACTGTCCATAATTCTTAGCCAGGTGAAGGAATCCCACAACTCAGAAAAGCAATTTGGTATTACAATGTTAAGAATGCTCTATAGATCAAGGGAGTTAATTAGAACTTAGAATTTGAATTCCACAATTGGAAAGTCAAAATGAAATGGCTCCTCCAGTTTAGATCAAAGTTAAATTTTTTAAAACAAATAAATATTGCTAATAGAAATCTTGAAAATTTAATACATGCTATTTTTTCATCAAACTTTCTGCTTTTCTTGAAATGATTTATCTATTCAATACTTCATGACAGTTAATTTGAAGTTAGAAGATAAGGACAATGCTAACTTTGGTTAGATAATTTGTTTTAGTACAAAAAAAGTAAAGATATTTGGATTTTGTATATTGACCTCAGTTTGGAAACTGTTTAAAGGGACAGAGAACATCTGTCACATAACTTTTAACCTACTACTAACCTAATAATATCAAATTTGCTTTTCATTTTAATGAATTGCATCTATCCAGTCAAAAAAATCATTTAGTTACTGAAATATTTCAAGTCTTCATTTTTTGAATATACTTGGATTTACCTTCATAATTTTTTTTGTCGCCAATTAATATTTGTTATCCTCTTCATCTTATCTGAACGTTTCGGCTCTGAATTGTCTTGGCCTGTATTTTGCCCTATGAGAGACTCATTTCTTTCTTCATCACTGTTCAGGTGGTTGGAATTGGGGTCTGTCAGACTGAACTTTAGGATTCTTTTTTACTGAACCCTTTATTTCTATACAGCTGGGGTAGACTGTTCAATTCCACTGGTGGTCTTAGTTTTGAGCCATGGGTTTTTGATGGATGTCAGTTATCAGTTATCTCCTGCTAATTTTCCCTCTGACTTGATAATTTTCTTCCAGATGCCTTAACCAGGAATTGGGAACTGCCTGAAAACCTTCTTTGGGTCTGTCACTGGATCAAATAACTGTTCAAACAGTTTATTGTCATTTGAGTATGTAATTCACAAATATTCATCCACTGTGAGCAGATGAAGTCTTGGATATAATGTATTCCTCAAAGAGATGTACCAACCTGAAAAATGCACAGTGACTGAAATTATAAAAAAAAACAATAATGGATATGAGTTTGCAATCTGCTACAGGCAGAAATAATGCAATATTTATTTTTATTTTTTTCTAACCAAGCAAAATCTGCCTTTGTTGGTTAACATTTCAATTTTGTATTCAATGAAATTTTTGGATTTTTCTCATCTTTTCTTGTCATCATATTGCAACTACCCAATAGAACAGTGGTTTTCAACCTTTTTTTTGCCCAATGCACCCTTTTCATCATATGTCAGAATGCCATTCTTCATTTTCCAAGATTGTCCAACTCAAAAGGTGTATTCCAAATAATATGCATATGTTACTGAAAATCTTCATTTTTTTTCCATATTAGTACATTTACATGGATTTTTTTATAGAGGTGTTTTACAAATTTAATAGCAATTAAAAATGCTGATGGATTTTTAAACTTGAATACATATACAGTAATTTCTTTTAATTCATAATTAATGATTAAATAACTGACGCATACTTCATACTTCAGTAACTTCAATAGAATGCTAGAGTATTGTAATTCAATAAACAAAAAGTTCAATAAGAGGTTAGGGAATTTAAATCTATTTTATTCTGATGAAGAACTTGTGAAAAAGTAAGATTTTTCACTCCCTACTGAAACCCTGAAATTCAACCCCTAGGGGGAGTTCTCTCCTGGTTGAAAATTCCCTGCAGTAGACTAATACCAAACCCAATGTTGGAAAAAATAAAGTAAAAAAAAAAGATAATAGTTTGAAAAAATTGAATATTTTTATTTTTTTAATCATTTCACTCCAAGCAAGATGCAAGGGGTTACTTAGTGTGAAAAAATATGAGAAAAAATTATTAAGGACAGAGAACAATAAAAGAATAGGAATTAAGAAGACAGAAGATAACAATTGACATTGCATTTAAACTTTTGAAGATCAAAGTTGAATGGAAGCAAAAAGCCAGAAGTGTTTCACAAACAAAGAGTATGAGAGAAGAACTGTTTGTATAGAACTTATGGTTACATTAGCAATTTTAACTGTAAAAGGATGAGACCTAGCTGCCAATCTAGTACTGCAATTAAATTTGAAAATTCAAGGTATATTAATAACTACTCTCAAAGTCTATAATAAAAATATTTCAAATTTGTTTTTATTGTGTTGATTGTTTCTTACTTCACACATTTTATTTTATTATTTGCAGTCTCATTCATCTATCAATAATACAAGACACTTTCTTGATGATTATTCTTGAAAAATGTGTTCAGAAGCTTCTTTCTTAGTGAAGGAAACCTAAATTCCTTTATTCTTTGATTTTGTCATTTTAAAAAAAACTTCACCTTATTTAATTTCAATTTTTATATTTTCATGCCAGACCATTCCATCGTCGAAAAGGTTGGACAGATACTGTCCGACGTAGGCGCTGGTACAGGTAAGTTATGGTTTTTTATTAAAAATGTTATCATGTAACAAAAATCAATAGTATATCAGTGCTAGACTTTCACCTGCTGAGCCTTCATTAAAACAAATAAGAAAATGGGTTCCACATGAACAGAAAGAAATATCAGTCAAGAGTATAAACACTTGTCATTTTTTTTTTGTTTAAAAAAAAAAATGTCATTTTTGAAATGTACATTGGTGATAAGAATGTGTTTATTATAAGAATGCAAAATTAAAACCATGGCTAGATGCAGAGAGCCTTCAACATCTTAACCTAAACAGAATCTACTGTGGATAAAGGATTTTGTGTTTATTAAAGAATAATCTATAATAAACAAGAATCATCTGTGTGTGTGTGTGTGTGGCTTTAATTCCAGAACTATAATATTTAGATTAGTGGTTCCCATTCTTTTTTTTTGTCCATGCCCACACCTAAGCATTTCTAAAATTTTGATGCCCATCCCCATGATATATAATTCTTATTATTCAAAAAGTGAACTCCTATTCACATGGAGGAAACCTAAAAGGCCATTAATTTTCCTTTAGAACTTCTGCATATATGCAATAGTATTATAATTTAATTTCAGAATTTTACAATATTTATAAAAATATTGTGTTACTTATATATAGTACATATGTAATTATATATGTACATACATACACACAAATATTTTTTTAACTTGCACACACACACTCATACTTAAACATGCTTAGTAGAAAACAATTCACTGTTAATAACTCCTTCTCGAATTGCTCACCTGTGGGGCATGTGTGCCACGTTGGGAACCAAGGATTTAGATCCATAAAACCATATATATATATATTCTGATTCACCATGTTCCAAGGAAAGTTTTGATAAATAATTTATTCCTGTACTCTTTAAATAAGCACAGATATTTGTAAATTATAACATATGTAATAATTACCATTAGAAAACGTACCGAAAAAAGGACAGTGATATTTTAGCATTTTCATTTTAAATTTGTCATTTTTTTATTTTTTTTAAATAAACATTAACAAAATGAATGAATTGTAGAATATTCAATACTTTTTGTTTAATAAAGGACAATTTTTTAAAATTACTGCAAATAAAACACAAGTATAAAAAAGTTAAACTTTTAACAAAATACATTAAACAAGTTTATTTACATACACAAGCCATACATCATTCAATTGTTTTTAAATAAACAGTGGCAAAAAATTAAATTGAATGAAGATTAAAAGAGCACACAGTCTATCATTTTATTTAATAAAATACTTATTTGTTTTAAAATTACAAACATTTTTACTGAAAGACAATAGGATCCATTTTCTTACAAAACCAAATTTCTACTTTTTAACAATTAGAACAATATTAAGGTTAAAATTTTTAGAATGTGAATGAAAAATTATTAAAATGAAAGAAAAATTCAGTACATTTATTATTTGAATTCACTTGAATCCAAGATTTGTAACAAATAATATAAATTTGTTTCCATTAAATTAGAAAATCAAAATAAATTGAAATATTGAATTTTTTATATTGCAGTAACATAACAGATGTGTAATTTTCATCTCCAATGAAAACCCAACTGAATACATAGTGTAGAAATTTTTGCTTATGGATTTTTAGCAGATATGATACACTCATATATTCCTCAAACTTAATAACAAATCTATTTGGCAGCCCTGATTAATGGTGTTATTTTACACAGGCAATATATTTATTTAAATAGTGACAAAAAATTAAATTGTGAATATTGCTCATCATGAATTTGTACATTACTGGTGGTATTTTGATATAATATGTGGCCAACACCGAGTAACCCTGATTATTATTTATAAATAGGCAGAACTTCCATTATCTTTTTTTTTTTATTATTTTTAAAAAAAAAAAAGATTGAAATAATGGAAGCCCTAATAATAAAAAAGAAGAAGCCAACTCTTAACAATATTAACTACGAACTAGGCCACAATGTGCTAACCATGTTCGGAAAATAAAACACCTCTATAACACACTAAAAGCATACACATAATGCACTCAATTAAACAGAAAAAATAAAATCATCCTTGTTAATGGCTAAAAGTATAGCCAAAGGTACTCAGAACTATAGAACATTTGGATAGTTTCTACACACTCTGTGTCCAAAAAAGAATGTTCTTGTACGTACACAAGAAAAATTAAATAAAAAGCTTAATCGTAGTAACCTTCTCTGTCATTTTTAATGAAACATGCATATATATATATATATATATATATATATGTGTGTGTTTGTGTGTGGAATGAGCAGGGTATTTGACTGAATACGAAAATTCGGGTTTACAGAGCTGTTGTCCTTGCCATCCTTTTGTACAGCTCAGAGTTGTGGCCTCCATACAGGTACCATATACACCAGCTGGATGTTTTCCATAAAGGCTGTCTGTGTGCTATCTATGGAGTTAACCTTTAAGATAGGACATCTAACATAGACCTGTTTAACAGATCGAGACTTTTCTCATACAGTCTCAGTTGAGAATGTCTGATGACAGGATACCCAAGATCCTAATGTAGGACACCTATGGCTAAGATACACAGACAAGCTGAAGAGCAACTTGTCAGCTGTCAATATACCTCATAACACCCTTGAGTGCTTAGCCTTGGAGTGGGTAGAATGGAGATCAACATGTTTTAGTGAATTCAGCAGTTTTCAATCTGCTAGTCTGAATCATCAGCAAGATCTAAAAGGTTAGCCAATCTAACAGTGATCTCATCCGACAATCCTCACTTTTTCTCCATCTGCCTTTGTAAATCACTAGTGGGTCTTAAGTGCCACTTAAGATTATCACATAAAATTTCATATCTGAATCAATTGGTTAAGTTGTCAGATCCTCATATGTCGAAACCGACAGGAGAGTCCATTATTATTATATATGAATGATAAGATGAGGAACAAATGGTAATATTTTATGATGAAGCTTAAATAAAAGTGAAACTTGTGAAATTATAAACATTTCCTATTTGTTCCTTATCCTGGCTTTGGCTAAGTAGTTTTAAAATATTAAGCTCAAGATCCAGGGTGCCATCTCCCAAAGCAGTATCTTTTCTTTGGGACGAGTTTGGGGTCATTAACCAGTAACAGAAGCATCCCCCAAAAGGGAAAGTGCTTGAGCAATTTTTCCATGGTATTGCCATTAAACCCACTTTAAACCTCTACCTTGTGTTACATTCAGTAGCAATGTGGACACACTGAAAAATACATTTAACCTATCATTCTGTCATATTTGATCTTATTTGATCCCAAATATATATATATATATATATATATATATATATATATATATATATTAGCTATATCGCTTCAGTTTGAATTTATTCTAAGAAATAATCAATTTGAATTTTAAAAAATATATTTTCAGGAAGTGTAAAATTTCTACACGTGGTCCCTTGTTGGAAATTGGTCCCACCAAATTACTGGACATCTCGATCCAAGTGGCTGACCTGCATCTGACCGATAATCAGTCTCTCTACCTGCAGGCAATTGCTGTGTGGGCAGTGGGCTGGAATGGAGATGTGCTTTGCCGCAGGGGAGTCACCCCTAGTACGCCTCAGGTAAAATTTTTATTTATTTTTTTGTCTTGGCTCACTATTCATATTACAGTAATGTAACTGGCTCTTTTTATGCTGCCTAATATTGAGATGTCTGTTTAGCTGTTTCAACATGTTAAAAGGGACTATATTATGGCATTCATAGTTTAATGTTTAGTGAGCTGCTTTGAAATGTACTTATGTAGATTCAAATCTTATCATGGAATGATATCTAACCAATATCCTCCTAGCATCAGTTTAATCTGACACATTATTTTTTCCAATTATAATTATAAACTATAATTTTTGGAAAGTAAAAATTCCATTGAAATATGTTAAAAAATTTTCTAGTTTTCTTCTGAAATATGAAATTTAACAAAAATGCTCACATTATATGGAAGAAAGATATGGGCAAATTTTTAGTTGTTAAAATGTCTTTATCCACTTCTATCACTGACGATAACTGTAAAAAAATAATTATATAAAATACATTTATTTTTGTAGGTAGAACAACAGAGGAAATATGTTATCTGGATTAGGCTATGTTCTAATATACTTAAAATTAATAAATATATTGAAAAAATCAAGAATAATGCTAAGCTTTTATCATCTTGGTTCAATATTATAATATTGGTTTATCTAAACAATCTGAAATCTTGTTTTCATCTAATTTTTTTTTAATCATTTCACACCAAGCAATAAAGACACTGTGTGCTAGAGAATGAGAAAAAAAAAAACATTATTAAGGAGAGGGAACAATAAAAGAACAGAAATTAAGATGACAGAAGATAATGATTGACATTGTAATTAAATTTTTGAAGATCAAAGTTGACTTGGAAGCAAGAAGCCAAAATTGAGTTCCAAGTGTGATAGAATAAGCTGTTAGCATAGAACATCTACATAGAACAGTTACATCTCGCCATTTCAACTGTAAAATGATGAGACCTTGCCACCAGTCCAATACTGTGCTTAAATTCATAAAATCTAGATACCATAGAGGAAAGTTCACCAGAACAATTACCATGAAAGTATTTATAAAAAAAAATAGCACAGGGAATTATTCTTAGTTAATAGTTATTAACCACACTACCACCACCACTGTTTAATAGTTCTTTGGTTAACTTAACCAGATCTGGCACATGGTTACTTTTCTTGATTTTTCCAATAAAAAATAAACTCACTTTGATTGGCTTATGATAACAGTACTTTCTCTCGGTACAACAGACATCTGTAGTGGTTCCTCACTTAATATGACATTTTTGAGTAAGTTGGATAAAGAATAAATAGTATTTACATACATGAGGCAAGACACTGAAATATTTCAGAGTTATTTGAATCTCATCAAAGTTCAACTATCCTAGTTAAAATGAGTAAGTACTCATTTTACTTTATTTTTAAAAAATGATATCACCTCAAACAAGGCAGTAAAGCCACAAACACACAAAGGGTTACTGAGTGTGAAAGAATAAAAAATAAAGAGAAATATTATTAAAGAGTGAGAACAAGTAATCAAGAAGACAGTAGATAATGATTGACATTACATTTAAATTTGTGAAGATCAAAGTTGGCAGGAAAACATGGAGTCAGAAGAGAGTTCCACAACTGAGAGTTGTGAGAAAAGAATTGATGTGACGTTGCCATCAATCTAGTACTGTGCTTAAATTCATAAAGTCTAGCTATTATAGCAAAAAGTTCATTTGAAAAATTACCATGAAAGTATTTATAAAAAAGGTACAGGGAAGCTACATTATGGTGGTGGGAAAGTGACTGAAGCTGAGATGCCAGATCAGGATCAATAATATTAATGATTCTTTGGAGTTTATCAAGAATCTCTAAATATATAGTAGGTGTACTGTGGTAGCAATATTCAAGAATCTCTAAATATATAGTAGGCATTTATGTGGCAGCAATATTCAAAGCATGGGCAAATAGTAGAATTATAATTATGTAAGATATTTCCTTATTACACATTCTTATTGTTAATTTTCAATAGTTTCACCCTTTTTATTTTTTGTTACTGTTAATTACAATATCTTTAGCTGATCCATTCATTAGCCATTAAATTTGTGGGTCTCACTAAGAAGTCATTAGGGGGTGCTAACCAGAAAATTAAAAAATCGGAACATTTCCTGTTATTGTTCTCTTGTCTCTCTTTTCCTTCTAGCATGCAGTAGAAATGACAACACCAACCAGGACATCTCCTGACATGGGGATATCTTTCCCCTTAGTAACTGAACAGTTTTACACACACAGACACAATTTCTAACTTTTGATATTGGTGTATTTTCTCTTTTTTTACTCTGTTAACCCAAGAACACTAACTATATAGTACCCAGCACAAATTTTCCTATTTTTAATTACAATTTTCAGTACCTGATTTTCTTACCTAAATAATGTTTTTCAGTTCCTATTAATGTTAACTCAAAGTACAAAGTTTGAAGTGCCTGCATATAAAATATTTCAAATAAAGATTTCTATTTAATATTTTTTTTGATATTTTCAAAATCAGGTATGATATACCCATAGTTAGTAGTGGTGTAACTTTAATTGATGGTTAGTGTTCTAGGGTTAAATTACCAGAAATATAAAGTATCATCTTGTTGGAATTCATTCTACTTTCTTACACTCATCAGTAACATATGCAAGATATTGTTGCCACAGCTTTTGGTCTAACTAGGAGCAGTGCCACAGCTTTTGGTCTAACTAGGAGCAGTGCCACAACAAATTAGACTAAAAATTCAGACAGAATAAACTTTGGCTGAGACTCTCAGTCATATTGCACACCTTTAGAATTGGTATGTTATGGATGATCTCTCTACCAACTGGACTATCAAAACTTGATTTTGTAGAGTTCTCATGTATTGTCTTTTTGTTATCATTTCTTTCATCTGATTCATTCCATACTATTGTTAATACCTAGCCTTAATATTAGTAATACTTTGTTTTGAAATTCTTTCTGATTATGCCAGCTTCAGTTGCCTAAATGGTTAAGGCATTGTCCATGAAAGACAAGCTGCCAAGGTCTGGAATATGTTTGAGTTTTGTCCAAACTGCTGTTTTATTCTGAATGATAAATGTAATGGATGAAGAATAGATTGACTAAAAACAATGTGATAAACAGAAAAGATTAAGAATCTACTTAAATATAGTATTTACATTAGTCGGACTATTGTCCTCATCTTTGTCGCCATATTTGTCACAACGTTTTTCGCTGTTGTGCGCTCCGGCCTTCTTCAGGTGGTTGGAATTTGAACTGAACCCTTTATTTCGATCGCTGGGGTAGACTGTTCTAATTCCACGTGCCATGTTTGATGGATGTCAGTTATCAGTTATCTCCTGCTAATTTTCCTTGAGGACACATGGCACAGTGGATAAAGGCGTTGGTTAGATCCAGTGACAGACCCAAAGAAGGTGAGTTCAATTTCTGGTTAAGGCAGTGGAGAACTTTCAGAGGGAAAATTAGCAGGAGATAACTGATAACTGACATCCATCAAAATGGCACGTGGAATTAGAACAGTCTACCCCAGCGATCAAAATAAAGGGTTCAGTTTGAAATTCCAACCACCTGAAGAAGGCGGGCGTACAACGGGTTAAACGTTGTGACAAATATGGCGACTAAAGATGAGGACAATAGTCCGACTAATGTAAATACTGTACATAATACCTCATCTCAGAAATATAGACAAACTACTTAAATATATATTAATAAAATATGTATAAGAATGTTTATTAACAGTTGTATAAAGTTCTAATAATAGTAACATCCCCATCTTTGCTGTTTTAATCACATATCTCTAACCTTCTTTACTTGAATATAGTATTTCATAAATAGTCCCAGATATTTTATTCAACATCAATGACAATTATTTAAGGCATTTTAATTCACCTGAAAAATTATCTTTTTGTGTTTCTCTAATAATTTTCATTGTATAATTTTTAAGTTGCTATTTTGTTGACAGGGATCTTACTGGCAGCACATCGCCACGGCCACAGACCAGCCATTCCAAGCCATATCTGTGGGTGGAGAATTCCGGGTGTGGGCCATTGCAAAAGATGGTTCAGCATGGTTTCGCTGTGGAGTTTCCCTTTCAAATCCTGCAGGTATTCATTTTACATAGAAATCTTTCAGAATAAAATTACCATGGTAAATCATTCAATATGCTTATACATCAGAACAGCATTTTTCAACTGGTTTGCCTGGGCACACTAAAGCACCTTGAAAGATAGCGAGGTCTGCCCCATGTCAACGGAAGAGTAATTTATGAATTATTTTTATATTTAAAAAAAAAATCTTTATTTTTGAAAAGCTAGAGACAACAAGCACATGGCTTCCTTGTCCAAGTCAATTCTTTGTTATTTGATATTTTAAACTGGATGCAAAATTTTTAATCTTTAAGGAAGAGTAGATAAACTTTTCTCTTTGCCTTTCTCAAGAGATTTGTATAAGTCAATGTTGCCCTCTCTAAAAAAAAAAAAATAAATAAAGATTCTTCATAAATCCCTTTAAATGAAAACTATATCACTAATCTTCTTTGGGAATGCTAAATCAAATTTTCAAATTCCTAATTTTTTCTTATTAAAATTTAAAGTGTGCTCCAGAGTTTTAGTTATTCTACAAGTACGCATTGAAGTTAAAAAAAATAATTGAGAAACACTACATTAAAGCATTGAAGCTTTAAAATACTTAAATATATTTTAATCCTGATTAATTATTCAGGCATAGCAGAAATGTTTTTGATGTGAATACTGAAAGGATAGAATTTTAAGATAAGAAACTCCAATTAAGAAAAATTTTCTATACGAATTAAACTGCCTACCTAAATGTTTTCTCTCTTAATATATTTCAGATTTTTAATTAACCAAATGTGACAAACCATGATTTTTTTATTTTTCCTAATAGCACACATTATTACCATAAATATAGCGCACATTATTACCATAAATATAAGGACAAAGGAAAACTATTTTTTACCAACACATTACCAACAGGCAAATGTAAGGATCTTATTTTGCAATATGTATTTATAAACAAAAATAAAAACATTGTTAGGTTTTAAAAATGTTTAAATTTAAGAATGCTCAAAAATATTCTTAGGGCAAAATGTTAAAGTCAAGGTAAACTATGGAGACTGCTAAGTGATGTAGTTTAATGCCTAATGAATGAAAGTGAGTAAATATTGTTGAATATTTTTTGTATTTTTTTTATATTTACTAATTTACATTTTTATTTATGTATTTATTTATTTTAAATAGTAGGTTTTCTTTTAATTTTTAACAATTTTTATGGTCATGTTGGCTTTGGAAAGGAGTATATCTTTTAGAAAAGAAGATATTTGAAAAAATCCAGTGTGAAGAATTACAAATCTATTTACAAATTTATGCACCACAGATTTTATCTATCATTTTAGAGAAAAATTGTTCATTTCCATTAGTTGTATTATATGCAATATTAGATGTGTGAAAAAGTTTCCATTGTATTCAGTCTCTAGATTGCCAGAAACTTTTGGATGTTAAAAATTCAAAGAGCAAGCAACACTTCAGAAAGAATCTTAGCTCACTCTGGCATATGTTCCTCAGTCAGTTCTAAGAGAAAATATTTATTTTTGAAAAAAAAAATGAAACACAAGTCTTAGAAATTGGGAAAAAGGAAAAAAAAAAGTTTGTTTTTTCTATTGTCATTAACTGAGCAAGTCACATTTTACTGATCCAATCATTCTTCATTTTTTGTTTTCACCACAGTATTGCATTTATTCAATATATTTCATGCAACAATCATCAAAAAGTCACATTCTCTCAACAAAAATTCTAATTAAATCTATATTTATAGTTTAAAGTGGGGAAAGTGTGTAGGAAATTCAGTCATCCATGTTTTATTATATTGAAAATCTGAACATCCAAATTCCAAACTAATAAAATAAAATATGGATATACCTGTTAAATGAATCATTTGTTTTTACAAACCATATGTACATGAATTTAAAAGTGTAAAATGGAGTAAGAATAGTCTTTAGTTGAGTTAAAGTCTCTGGATAGTTGGTAGAAAAATTTGTGGTTTAAAAGACTCTAATCATCAGTGAAGATTTACTGATTGTCCGAGCTGTTGTTGAGGATGATGATTCACTTGTAGTGACAGACATGTTTCTTTCATCATGCACTGAGATTCCTGTGTAGCTATGTAGCCAAGTCTTGTGTTTGAATAGCTTGGAGAGAGTAGTAAAATGGAGTAAGAATAGTCTTTAGTTGAATTAAAGTCTTTGAGCAGTTGGTTCACAGAAAAAACTGCAGCTTTGAAAAGACTTTTAAATAGTTGATTTCACAGAAAAAAAGCAGTGGTTGAAAAAAGATTTTTATCATTAGTGAATATTCAGTGATTGTCTTTGTTATTGTAGCTGATTTGTTTGAAGTTGCCAACACATTTTTCTTTCAGTATGCAGAGGGAGACAGTTACATCTCTCTCTTTGAAAGTTGAAATCTGTGGGTTTTATAAGAAATTTTTCCCAAAAGTAGGCTTGAGAAAAATAGGGTTTATTTTTCTCTGATTAATCAAATATTTCATGTGGTGATGTTAATTTCTGACTAATAGACACTTTGATTTAAATGGTGTGAGTTGTGGAATCTTTTTGGCATATTTGTAAATATTGTCTGTTATTGAGTAGAAAATAAAGTTTGGTCCTTTTTTAATATAGTATGTATGTGGGCATGTAATTGTGTTGGAAATAGGGTTTATTTCCTATAAGAGAATTCAAAACAATTGATTCTTATATAAAAAAAGTTAAAGTTTTCCCCAGTGATTTAAATACATCAAAAGGTATTTATCAAATGTGTTTGTATGTGTTCCTCTACACAGTGTAATATGGCAGAAAAAACTAAGCATACATTTCCTAGCTAAGTTAATGTTATGGTGACCTATCTACATTAGAATGAACTCTTCCACCTTCATAAATAATACTAACCTCCGAGACTTCCTAAGCAGAGCAGTCGGGATGTAGTGTAACCTGACAGTAACACTCTTATTTTTTATACATGTTCTGTTATTTCAATACACTTGTTCGACCTACCTTCTTCTTTCTGTGTCTTTCTTTCTGGCCCCTAACAGGCCATAACAGTTAAAAGAAGAAAAAAACACTATTCTAACTGAAGAAGAGCATAAAAGTTTTTTCATAAGCACAAATTCCTTAACCAATCACTTCAAGATGCTCTGTAAGTTATTCATTTTTTTTAAATAATAAAAATGTTCTACTTTTTATAATAGTAAACACTGAGATAAATTACTTGGCTATGTTGGTCCAGGCATAATCTATCTGATGTGGTCTGATAAAATTGAATGTTTTCACTATTGTGTGAATAAAAAAAAAATTCAGATAAAGTAAAATTGGTTCAGCACAAAGTTGGCTGCTAAAATGACATACGCAACTTAAAGAAGGTATTTAACCATATACCCTACTCAAAGGGAATATGGCACAGTGCCAGATTTAAAATAGGAGTCCCATGTATTGTACTAGGAAAAGAAATTATTGATTTTAGGTACAGTGCCAAGTAGCCACACTTTGATCCTAGACAGAATGCACAAATATTTCACAGATCCTAGACAGAAGTGTCAATATATATGTAGAAATAGTACCTGTCAAAAAAGATGAGGTCACGTAAATTTGTGTATTTAAAATATCATATTTAAAAAAAATAATAGTAAAAACAAAATATGATGTCATTTTAGACAACATTGGTAAACAACAACTTTGACTTCATTACATCTTCAGAACACCTGGAATACAAACAAATATTTTGACAGTTATTGATTTTAATTTAATGATGACTATGGAAATTTTAATCAGAAAATAATTTATTTTCATCAGAAGAGTTCACTACATAGAGATAAATAAATTGCCTATTTATCTATTTCTATTATGTCACCAGAAGAGTTCATTACACAGAGATGGGCAATTCACTAATCAGTGACTATACATGCGAGAAAGAGTTTGAGTTGCTGGTAAGTAAGAGTAGAATTGATAGTCATTACCTTTAAAGTGAACATAGCCTTTTCAACATAAGGAGTTTCTTCAACTTGAGTTTGAAAGTATTTGAGAACTGGAATGAAAGTTGTAGTGGACCTCCTGGAGCAGGGGAGTGATATAATATGGCCTGTGCACTCCAAATAAGTATGAATCACAAGAGGCCTAACATTTTAAAAATAATAGATGTGAAATCTGACAGATCAACAAGAGGACAACAAATGGATATCACAGACACATTTCCTAACAGAAAAAGCCTATAAAGATTTTCTTCCTTTTTCAGATATATATGTATAGACATAACTATATTTTCTCCTTTCTTGAATTTTATATTGTTTTTTATATAAAAATATATATGTAAAATTCCTCCAGGTGTTGAAATTTATTTCTTTTGAAAATGTTGAATTCAATTTCTTTGAAAGTTCTCAACCTCACCCATTACAAACCTTTACCCACCTCAGCAACAGTGCTACTTATACTGTCAGAGAGTATTCACCTGAAATAGTTCAGATAAAAAGCCACAACGAAATAAAGAAAGCTAGTCAACAATTAATAATTAAAATATTTTATCTCATAATTCAGATAACTTAAACCCATTAATCTGATGTTAATTTAATTTCTTAAAACCTGAAAAATCCTAACATGTTCCATGGCTTACACATAAACCACTAATATATGATACATTCTATCCAAAAATTTCAATACATATAGTAAGTTTCTGTTTTGTTAATGTATCAAAAATGTTTTGTGCAACAGGGAACTGCTGGTTCCATGTGATTCCACCACCACCATCAGACCACGTACTTCATCAGATCTCTGTTGGTGTGACCAGTGTTTGGGCTGTAGACATTCAAGGAAATCTCTGGTTCCGTAACGACATCACACCCATATTTCCTGAAGGCACATGTTGGACCAAAGTTGCCAGTTTGGTGAGGAGAGTTTCTGTTGGACCAAAAGATCAGGTGAGATTATTTCTGTTTTTAATTTAATATTAATAAATATTATATTATAATATAATATTAATATTATTATTAATAATGCCATAGATGAAATAAAGGGTTCAGTCTGAAATTCCCTGAAGATTACCTGGATCAACAAACACCTAATAAAGGCCGGAAGGTACAACAGCTAAAAAGTTGTGATAATAATAACAAAGATGAAGACAATAATCTGTATCTAAATATTGTAAATAATACTAATGGTGAGATTAATATTAATTTTTTTCTTTGTAACTAATTGCTAATTACTTGTGATTATATTGCTAAAATATAAGTAACAATTAACACAAGCTAGACATGTGGAAATTCTTTATATCTTATAATTTACAAATAAAATATGAAACAATTTATCTGTCTATATTTCTGTGTCATCAAGGATACAGTGGATAAAGGCATTAGTTACATCCAGTGATAGGACCCAAAAGAGTGTGAGTTCAATACTTGTTTAAGGCAGTGGAGAACTTGGAGAGGGAAATTAACAGGAGATAACTGACAACTAATATCCATTAAACATGGCACGTGGAACTAGAACGGTCTACCCCAATGAGCGAAATAAAGGGTTCAGTTCGACATTCCAACCACCTGAAGAAGGCCAGAGTGTACAACGGCCAAAATGTAATAAATATGGCGACAAAGATGAGGACAATAGTCTGAATAATGTAAATAATGAAACAATTTATATATTTTAATAATATAGAAAGAAAAAAACAAAGTTATTTACAGTTTTAATTAGTAGTTTACCCACTTAATTGCTTATAATCTTGATAAGGATTTTTATAAAAGACAATATTTATTGTGAAAGACGTTTCCCTTCTCCTCTAACTCCTATTTTAATAATATAGAAAGAAAAAAACAAAGTTATTTACAGTTTTAATTAGTAGTTTACCCACTTAATTGCTTATAATCTTGATAAGGATTTTTATAAAAGACAATATTTATTGTGAAAAACGTTTCCCTTCTCCTCTAACTCCTATCTTTTACTTCTTTCTGTTCTGTAAGTCTTTGACTTTGGGGAAAAATAACAAACTTTCTATGGCTAAATATTTGTCAACTGTTTGTTTGCCATTGAATAGTATTGGTAGATTTTTTTCTGGATTAAAACAGAAAAGAGCAATGTGCTTAACCCACTGTATTTTAATGTCTCTGAAGGAAACGTTACTGTAGAATTCTGGAAATCCGATACAAGAAGCCAAAAATAATAGTAATTAATTGAAGCCTTATACCTTGGAACCAGTCCCCCTTAAGTAATAACTTTCCCATTATACTAAAATGATTGGAGGGTGAGGATCTTAATGTTTGTAGGGAATTAGAAAATTTCAGGACAGGCCATTGTATAACCTTGAGCTACACTAAAAAGACTATACATTATATTTATTTCCATAGAGCGACAAATAAATCTTGGAAATAATGAAAACATTACACACACCTTAAGTGTAAGTCCATCATGTGATTTGCAGGGAAAATGTTGGAAATGTATTAAAGGTATATAGGTACAGTCCAACATCTTTAACTTGGCACTCTGTAGTCTGGCACTTTTTTGAATCACCTGCCATTAGTTTGTTGAGTGGCTATGAGGGCAGTGCCACATGTTGTTTTCAACTTTCTACAGCAGCAGAGTGTTTTAGTGATACGGCCATGTTCATTTCTTATATATAGCTGCATATTTGCCCATTTAGGATGCCACCCCAGAGAGCAGGAGGTGCAGATGATGGTGCTAGAGGTAAGAAGTGTAAGCATAAATCTTTAGCTATGCTTGAATAGGTGGAGTTACTGGAGAAATTAGACAAAGGGATGTCTGTAAAGACTTTGTGTGAGTGCTATGGCATCAGATCATCCACTGTGTGTGATTTAAAGAAAGAAAAAGAAACAAATTTTTGTTTTTGCTGAAAACAAAAGCCAGAAAAGTTTGAAGTGTCACAAAACATTGAAATTTGCCAGTAGTTCAGAATTAGACAGTGTTTATAAAGTTGTTTAAGCTCCAATATAGCAAAAGTGTAAGTATTTCTATGGAGATGCTCACAGAGCAGGTTAGTTTTTCATTAGGAACTAAATTTAATATATAACATTGATTCTTTGTAAGGATGGTTGTAAAAGTTTAAGTGGCGACATGGTATTTTGTTTCATAGTGTAAGTAGTGAAAATTATAGTGTGACATGGAAGCTGCAGCAAAGTTTGTGGATGAATTTGCAGAGTTAGTGGCAAAAGAAAATTTATTCCTTGAATAAGTGTATAACACAGATGAACCTATCCTGTTTTGGCATTGTATATCATGAAAAACCCTTGTCTAAGATATTGAGGAAGCTCCAATTGGAGATAAGGACTCCAAAGATTCAGTAGTAGTTCTTACCTGTTGCAATGCTGCAGGAACATACTAAACCAAGTTGATGGTTATTGGTAAGAGTGTCAACCCAAGGGTCTTTAAAGGGGTGAAAATTCTGCCATTTATTTACTATGAAAATAAGAAAGAGTAGCTAACCATCAAACTTTTTCCTGGATGAATTGAAAATCATTTTGTGCATGAAGCTAGAGCGCACTGTAACTCTTGGCCTCAATTGAAAGTGTAAAATATTTTTGATCTTAGATTATTGTTTGACACACCCCAAAGCAGAACTTTTGGTTAAAGTCAGTGTTTTTAGTCCCTAACTGTATGCCTGTGATTCAGCCCAGTGACTAGGGCATATTATGGTCATTGAAATTTAAAAAGAGATCTGAGTTCATGCATCATTTCATTGTTGCACTAAATAACAGGAAACCACCTAAAGAATTCAAAAATGAATTTAACTTAAAGTATATGATATGATCACTAGCTTCTGCTTGTGACCAGACAAGAAAGTTGAGAAAAGTACACTGCAAGGTGGCTGGTACAACCTATAGCCAAGCTTTCTGAAAGACAAAGATAATGAACCTGACTTTAGTGGATTTAGAGTTTTGAGTGAAAAGACCTTAGTCAGGGAATTGGCTAAGTATGCCATGAATATGTCAAGCCCAAAGTGCCTTGAAATAAGAAAAGACAACATAGGAAAACATAGAGTAATGTATGGACATTAATAATGATAAGCCTGTTGTTTATCAACCAACTGATCAAGAAATAGTGGAGATAGTAAAACAAAATGAAAAGAATGAAGAATGTGAAGATGAAAAGAAAGCAGTGAAAGAAAGAATTTCTATAGATAAATGTGTCTAGATGACAAGAGATTCAATCACAGGATTGGAGCAAAGGAATGTTATAACTGACCAAGAAATTGTCTGTTTATTTGATACAGAATCCCAAGTTCCAAAAGCAAGCTACACTACAACAGTGGCTTAAGTAGGTTGTTAATAGAGAGAACACTGCCATTGCTCATTCTGGCATAGAAAATCCACTTCCCTAAACTTTGTCTACCCTTGATGTTCAACGAGGCCTACCTGCCAACCCTAAAGACCCTGCAGACCTTGATGATCCTCCTGATTCTGAAAACTCTGAAGACTTGGATGTAATCTGAGTTACAGGTGTCCTACAGGCTTAGGTCTACTACATGCCCTACAGTGTTGTTTTATTTTTAGATTTGTTTTATATTACATGAAACAATAAAAATCTTGTTTGGAAGCATTAATTATTGTATAATACTTTTGTGATGTCAACGAACACTCGTTGCCACTTTTGTGATGTCAACGAATACTTGTTATCACTTTTGTAATGCTCTTTGTAGTAGAAACTTTGTAATTGCAGATACAACTATAGTAACACCGTTGAACAATACTGGTGTCAGACACCTTCAAATAACACTCACACTAATAGTACTTGCTTGATAATACTCACTCAAAAAGTAACCACCGAATAGCGATCCAAATAGTAATCCATATAGTGATCACTTAGATACCATGCTAATTCCCATATATACATTTCCTTTAGCATCATGTGATCTACTTATTCAAAAATGGGACTGCCTGTGTTTGCTCTTTGGTGATCTGTGTTCAAACTTCAGTATTGGCAGCAACATTTTATTCCTATATAACAAGTACATACACTATTATTTCCTGTTTGAGCTACAGGTTTCCTATGCCTACTACAGTAGAGTAAATATAGATTACTTTTTTGGTTTTAGGCTCATTTTTTAGCATTTGTATTGCATAAAGCAATAAAAACCTTGTTTGAAAGCATTAATGGTTGTTTTATTTCCTGTTTTAAACTTTTGATAATACATGTGGCATGAGTTGGCAAGTCTGTTTACATAAGTGTTTTTTAGGGATGATTTCTGTCATCTGGCATTTTCTTTAGTCTGACAGTGGCCTGGTCTCAAGGGTGCCAGATTAGAGGTTGAAATACAATTGATAACTACCACTTTTTTTTTTTTTTTTTTTTTTTTTACAGAAGAAAACCATCTCTATTACATTGAGCTGAGTGGCCATAGGCCCACAGATGGCTATGAAGAAGCAGATTAAAATTAAGAAATATTTTAAAACTAATTTCAGGTTTGGGTTGTTGTGGATGCAAATTTCATGAAGTCTGGCTGTGAAGGTGGAAGCGTCTACCAGAGAATGGGAATCACTGCTGAGTGTCCAACAGGAACAGGGTGGCAAAAAGTGATAGGGGTAAGTGTTTTTTGGTTTTTTATTGCTCATGTATGTATGTTTCAGGTAGATTATCATGTGTATTTGCATATAATTTTTATTTTTTAAATTTAAGTTATTTTTGTAAAAGTGTAAAGGATATAAATTATTTATTTATGTAAAAAAAATAAAAGTAATCATTTAAAATGAAAAATTATATAGCATTTTACTATGCATTGTTTAGATATCGCACACTGCTTCAAGTATGGGATTGAACTCACTACTCAGTCATAATTAATTTAGTGATACAAGCTTTCTAACCTTTACACCACATCAAAGTGCCCTAGTGATTTCCTAAGCATAACTTAAATGTAGCTCAAGGCCGAATGTATGCACCTGGTGAGGAGTGAATTCATTTCTCAGTCATAATTAATCTAGAAAGACTCGCTTGCTAACCATTGCACAATGTTGAAGTGCCCAATGAAAAATCACATACATACATATATATATATATATATATATATATATGAATGAAAAGACAAGAGGAAAACTATACTTAGTTTTCAGCCAACACGTTTTGTCATCTGACAGACTTTTTGCCTTGATAAATTCTGTCTGAACTTTGTCTCTTTCAGGGATGTGATACTGGGAAGCATAATTGCTCTGTTATGGTAACCTAGACAGAGCACTTTTTGTTACTGTTTAAATAGGTGTCTATCTTTTGGACCTTTTTTATAGTTTATGTTTCATTTTGCCATTTTCTTCTGTTGGTCTTTGTCTTGGTTTTTGTTTTATTGATTGTTAGTTTTGCTTAGTAAAGAAAAACTCATTCCCTGGCAGGATCAAACCCATGTACCCCAACTCTCTTTACTAAGTTTGAATGTGTAGGCTGATGCACACTGTTTAATAAATAAAAATGGGACATTTATTTCAAAGTGAAAACGAAGAATCAAGCTATATGATTAGCTTTGAGTTTCTGTAGCAATTGACTTTCTTAGTTCAAGTAGTAGAGTAGTTGTTGTGCTAAAAAAGGAAAAAGGGATGCTAGTTTGAGTCTTGCTAAAAGTTTAATCTTTATTTTCAATCTTACAAGTTATTTGGTATTGATTATTTTTATTAAAAAAAAGTTTTGAAAACACATTTGAGAAGAATATCTGCAAAATTAAGCAAATTTTTATTTTGAGGATTTTAAACTCCAAGAAAATTTTCCCATGATTCATTTGTTTTAAGATTTACATGGTAAGCATATATACCTATACTACCTTAGTAATTGTAAATCTAAATGTAACTACATAGTAGTTGTGCTGACATATTTTTAAATAAGTTATTATGTATCAAGTGTTTTTGTTATAATTTTTTAATATTAAGTGTGATTTTTTTTATCAACAAGTTTTATTTGAAAAAAAAAAAAAACTTTAATGTAAATGAAATGAAAAAGCAGGACCTGTTTTTGGCTCATATACCCAATGTTCAAATACAAAATTTTAATGCTTATTTTGGGAACTGGTGCTGTGTTCATATCTTTGTCACAGCACTCAATTGCAAGTGGTTGGTCTGCTGCACCAGATATGACTGACTACATAATGCCTGGGAACAAATGCCAACAAGGTTGGTAGATTTCTCTATCCTGCTTTACTTGAACAGAGATTAATCCTTTTCCAGTTCCACCTGTCTGTTTGACAGTGATTGTCAGTAGCTGGACCCAAATTCTCTTGTTGTGTCTCTGTAGAAATTAATGAAATAGATTTCCCATAGAGCATGGTAACCCATTACTTCTGGTTGCTGGTCATGGTTGAATTGTTAGTCATTGGCTTGAGGGGGAGAAATGCATTCTGTAAACTTAAGAGAATTTAATGTGAAGAAAAAATATAAGTCTACAGAATTTAACTTCTACAAAATAATGCTTGAGTATTTTTCTGTATTTTTTTTGTCACTGAATCTGGCTCATTTACTTCACACATAGAAAATGACTACCAAGTGAAATGATGTGTGCTGGCTTATATAGGGAAAATTTTACCTGATAACAATGATTAATAACTTCACTCTATCTAGCCAGGCCTCAGAAAATGACAATTTACAATGCTAATAGTTTACATTTCATTATCTCTATATTTCCATAAATTAACCAGATGGCTCTCCCACTAATGAAGGATTCCTCACCAGGAATCCAAAATAATGATAATTATAAAAATTTCAGCTGGTCACAGGAAAGGAACATTTGATTTCTCTCTAGACCTCAGTTTCAAACCTTGTACAAATGCTTTTCAAACAAACACTGTGACCACCCAGGTGGAGTTCATCAAAAAAAAACATATCCAAGTGACAACTATCAGCACACCAATCTTGTTCTAGTCAAAAAGGTATTTCACACTGATATCTGTACTTGAAAATTAATTAATTTTACTTTATCAGCTATCAACATAACCATTCATTTCCTACTTCTAATTTCTGGTACAGGGTTTGTACCCTCCTGAAGCCAGAGTTGAATTTGGTAAACCATGTTTTAATTTTCTGTTTATTTAAACTTTAACATTCAAAAGCCATTTTTACATTTCTACTTATGAAATGTTGATTTCAGGGTTGTTACCCTGTTACAGTGCTACACATTCTTTGTACTCAACTATAAATTCTGTATAATGAATAAATATATTAGGTAGGAATTTTGCCTCAAAACATTGAGTACAGATATGAAAAAAATGACAAATGGTACAAAAGATGCTACTATTGGCAGTGGTGTGATATCAACTCTCTGCAGTTTTTCTCAGCACAGCCAGAATTTCTTCTGTTATTGATATTTCCTCCCTTGCAGGAGGTTTTTTTTTTTTTTTTTTTTTTTTAGTATTTTCTTTCATTTTTTATTTGGTCACTTTTTCAGTTTCTAACAATTCCCGAGCTCTGTATATACTCATGAAGTTTACTTATAAGTGTGGCAAGATAGAATCCATATTTACAGTTAGATTTTACAAGTCAATGGTAATAATACCCAATTAACTTCAAAATAATAGGATACTCCAATGCCCACCTCTCAACAACCCAAGGATAAGATGCCAAAAGATAAGAAAATCATCTGAAGAGTAATCCTATGCTCCTCTAAGAGGTGTCAACACAAAAGAATTAAGAGATCCAAAATGATGTGAAAGGAATTAAATCTTGAATTAAATGTTAAAGACTAAAAAACAGTCTTTTTGGTTAACATTTTAGTCATATTTTCCCACATCATCCTTAAAGTGTCAAAAGAGAGTAAAAAAAAATAGCATCTTGCCAGCACTCTGAGAATAGCAAAGGAAAAAAATTGTACATTTGTTTGAAATATCTAAGGGTAAAGATGGATATGGGCAAATCATTCAGCCGAGGACAGAATGGCAAGTTTGAAAACATCCATAAGACATAAAGCAAAATAGAAATGCCAACAGATTTGACATTTTTAAGTTTATCTTTTAACAAATTGTATATTAAACTCTCTGAGTTGTTTTGAGGTTTCAACCTGGAACCTATGCACCAATGTTGTTATCATTGATCTGAGCAGATCTTCATTCAAGTCAAATCATTTCTCCACATCATTAGTATACATTACTAAAAGGCCTAGTAATTTATTCTTCTTTCACAATCATGCTGGGGTTGTTTTGAAGTTGAGCTAACAGATATAAAAATAGCCAAACTGATGTGCCTATTTTACCTTTATTATCAAACTTTGTTTACCTTCCCTATTTTGTTCCAATTGAAAAAAGGTATTCTTATGGTGTATTAATGGCTTGGATTTTGCCACTTGGGATATCTCTTTCCTCTATACAAGTACTTGTCTTTTACAAAATGAATTCATTATTATTTGAGTGTTACAAATTACCCAGAGATAGCACATCTCAAAAGAATTCAGAGGTTAAGCAAAATGGCCTAACCAAGTGAATGGTTAGATAGCAGCAAGGTTCTTGGAAGAATGAGTATTCTCTCTCTTCAACTGTGGAAGCTGAACTGACTCTCAGACAATTGACTCACTGACTCTCTCTCTCTGCTTCATCTGTTTTTATGGGGAGTGGATTTCTTTCAAGTGTCAGGTTACAAGTTAATTTGCATACTTGCATAGTAGCAGGGAAGGGTTTTGATGATCTCATCTTCTTGTCATACAGAGCCAGGGTCAGTTGATTTGAGATCAGCTAATAAACAATGAAGGCAGCAAGAGTGAATGGAATTATAAAACAGCAAATTCCAAGTTTTAATTTCAGTCAGATTTGACCTAGTTTAGGGCCAGCTGGTTTATGTAAATTTTTCAGTGCCAAATGCAGGTGAGGAATGAGTGCTTCTTATTTCACTTATATACCCTTTAATTCATGAGTTCAAACCAAGACAATTCCAGGTACTAATTCATTATTATTGCTATTTAAAATTAATTCTTTTAACCTTATCCTTTACTATATCCATAATTCACATTAATTCACTCTCAATTAGTATGACACAGCCATATTATGTATTTCTAATGGAAAGCCTCTTATTCATATTATCATTATACAGTAATTAGGATATTGGTAAAGAGAAAAACAAAGAAAACTAAGGAATTCTCATAGGGATAGGAATTAAAGAATATTAACATAAAGAAAAATAAAACATGTTGCTTATTTCCAGGTGGGTGATTGTTGAGGGGGAACATTATTTACATTTAATATAGGTCTCCAAGTTTCAGCCATTTTTCTTTGCCTTGAACTTCTATATAAATGACTGATCTTTGTAGTTTGAGCAGTCCTTTCTGCTCACTGTTGCAATAAATTGCTTCTTTGAATGATGCTGTTACTACTTTGCCAAAGTGATTGGACATAGTAAGGATCTCAGCCTTTTCTCTCTGAAGGCATCAGAGATGTAAATAGAATAATAACTTCTCATTTAAGACAATTTACTTGTAACCCTGCCGGTCTTCAGGTTCCTTCAGACCACCATGGTTACCATCTAGCTGACTCCTCACTCATTAATGCATTGCTAATTTGTTACTGGTATTGTGTTGAGCATGGTTCCACTTGATATAGCTGGTGTTTGTCTTCATTCCTATGTCACATTGGGTTTTTGATCTCAGATGGTGAGAAAAATTGCTGAAGCAAAGAACAAGTCAACAGTGAGGAACTACACAAAAATAATTCTGGTTAAAAATGTAAGAATGATTTGATTTATATATGATTTGTTGTATACAGTGGTTTTAACCCTCTCCCACTTCTGTTATAATCAAATGACACCGGGATCCTCTTTTAGAGATTACATCCTGTGTTAGTAGTAATTTAAATTTCTAAGTTCTTGTCTCCAGAGCCAGCAAAAGTTCTTGGTCAGGAGGTCTCAGTGAATGATGTGGGTTCAAGTAGCAGTAATGTGAGGACTCTTCAAGTTGTCCAAACTGCCAGCTTATATGGAGTCCTGTGTCCAGCAGAGGTGGGGTTTACCAGGATCTGGGGTTTGGTTATCTTCCACCCTTAGTATCAACCTTTTTCTAAGATCCTATATTTTCAAAATATGTTTACTCAAGTAATTTTCCAAATTTAAGCCACCCCTTAACTCCAACTCTCTTTATATCTCATCTCGCACCACTGCTCCATATAGGCAGTGCTAATTGTCCTCTCTTCCTTCTCCCACTTTCTCAGCATCCAATCTCAGCCCACTTCAAGGGCTAGTACACTGTTTTTGTGATGAATCTAAACTTTTAGAATGCATAAGCAAAAAGTCAATTTCCAGTAATCTTTCTTTATCAGCTTCTCTCATGCTGATTGTTTTAGGTGATTTCTCAGTCAAACAGACTGCACAGCCAGTCGCCTATAGACACTCCAGGGCTAGTAATTAATTTTTCTTTATCATTTGTATTCAAAAGAATCCATAAAAATTTTGAAAAACATCACAGAAATTAAAATGAATGAACAGGTCCCCAATCTTAGTCACTAATCTCTATTTTTGTTGGGATATTTTTCTTCTGGGTAGCTAATGCAAACCAAATATTTTTCCTGGCTCTTTGTGCAGAACAATTTTGGATGTTATTTCGGTGACTACCTGTTTTCTTTATTGATAACGTTTTTCCAGGACTGACATCTTTGATAATACATTCTCTTTCTTATTGGCAGGAAGTGGGGAAGGACGGGTAATCTTGGTTTTGCTCAATCTTACTGAAATCTGTCTAGTTAAATTTGGGTTCAATTCTCCTTGGAAATGTTTCGGATTTCATTTTATTATTTTGAAACATCATTTTTCAACGCATTTTGTTTTTAATTTTCTCAACTTTATCCATTTTCCTGTGAATTTCAACAATTATCATCCAATTTGTAGTCTCTTTTTGCTTCCTTTTTGTTTAACTCTCTGAGGTCCCAGTGTCACAAAATCATGTTCCTTCTTTTTTGTTTTACTAACAACAGATAATCAAGAGAGATGTATAAAGAAAAAAGAAAGAGCAACAATTGTAGTTCAACAGATTAAAACTCAAACTGTTAAAAGTTCACTCAAGTTGTCTGTTCTCTTTTGAACAGAAATTATTGCGTCAACAAAGATAAAACACAGTATAGAGAAGGAGGCATGATTGATTGTTTCCCCTGCAAATTGCTTTTATAAATGGTAACAGTTGTTGGGTCAAACAGTATGTGGGTGTTATACAAATGAAGAAAATAGTCACTATTCTGGGCTTTTCTCTTTCTTCTCTTGATAGTAAAAGAACAAACAAATAAACAAATCAGTAAACTTGAAAAAAGTTTGTACTGTGAGATTAACAGGAAATAGCTTATGGCCTTTTGATAGTGATATCATTTCACACTGTGAGCTCTTTGTTCATCTCTTCAGTTTATTCTTATTTCATAAACCTGTCAAAATGATCTGGTTACCTCTTACAGAAATTCTTATGATTGTTCAGTGACTATAATATATGTGACTGTGTTTTGATAATGTTGGTGTACTTATTAAAAAAAAAAATGGTGGTATTTTATATTGTGAATATTGACAAAGCTTGTACTTTTGTTTTTCAGGGTGGTTGGCAGCATGTTTCAATTCGTGGTTGCATGGAAGATTTGATTGTTCCTGCTCTTTCAATCTGAAGTAACATCAACTGCTAATGTATGACAAAAGAAACAAAGGTCACTCAGAAATTGAACAAAGATGAAAACATAGCAAATATTTGAATGTCCAAAACTGCTTGGTCTCTGCCTATACTTGATTATCATGGTCTCATTCACTGGATAATGGGAAAAAAATATAAAAGTCTTTCTATAAACATTTATTTGCCCATGACATAAACTGTGGTTTCTGGACCAATTTTTATTCCAATGTTGTATGAATTCTTTTTTCTCTATTCAGTGTTTATATTTTGTTCTGATGTTTATTTTACACATTTCTTGTATTTACAATTTTTTATTTTCTTTTATAGAACCAAAATAAAATAAATTTTTATTTACTCTAAAAATAAAATTTTTAATGGAGACCAGAGATTACTTTAGCTAAGAAGTAAACAGAAAATGGCTACCATGTACACAGATATTTTTTTCTGAGATTTTAGCATTAAAATTACAGAATTTTATATATCAAATGGAGAGTAGGTAATTTCTGCTCTAGACTTTGTATTATATTTTAAATGTAAATAAATACCTATCATAAGCTTCAATCTAAAAAAAAAAAATACTAATGCCGAATCCTTTTTTTAGTGTTGAAAAATTCTCTGAATAATTTTTTTTTTATTTGTAGTATATTTCATGCTGCTATTTCTGGCTATTGTCTCAGTCCTTCTACTTTTAAATTGTTTACTTCAGCTGATGAAAAGTGCTCAAAAATTATCATCAATGTAGGTAGTTTGAAAACTTCATATGAAAAGTATGAGGTATTGTCAGTTTATTTAGAATTTTAAAAGATGGTCCTCTTTACTTTAGTGCTTGTGAAGGCATACATATTATAAAGATTCTTTTTATTTTTGCATCAAGACTTCTTTATTTTCTGTGTTAATATAAGCAAATGTTTAGAATATACAGTTCCCAATACATATATTGCTGCTCTATATTTCTAAAGCTATAAGAATGTGTGTGCATATTCTTTCCATTTTTCAAGAATTCCTGAACTTATTTCAACCAACATTACCAAACAGTGTAATTCAAGTTACAGTAGATTAAAATTAAGATATACTTCTCCTCCCCCATAGTAGTTGTCATATTTGCATATTTTTCTTTTGACTATTGACAACACTTAAAGGTCATGTTTATATGTCCTTGTGACAACTTTGTGTTGTTAATTTAAACTTGGCAGTTTTAATTTAAAAAAAATAACTTGGTGTCTTAAAGCTGTTCAAAGGCAAACAAAAATTGATATCAATTATGGATGAAAATTTAAAAACCTAAATGATAGTGAAAATGATTCATTGCAGTAATTGTTACAATATTAAAAAAAAAAACTCAACTACTAAAAACAACTCTGAGATTACATGAAATGCCAAAAGAAAAAAATGTTTATATGTAAATTAAATTATTTAAATGTTTCTCAAAATTAATTGTCTCAAGCACTGACTTAATAAACTATTTCATTTGTCTTAATTTACAAATGTAACAACTGTTTGGTGACAGTTAACAACTATTATGGGACAGGAGTCATATACTATGCACATAATTTAAATCATAAAGCTACAAAAAATAAACAAAACTTAGATATTATTAAAAACTGTCATCAAATCAGTTTTACCTTTATTAAGTATATAATTTAATTCTTGCATGTACAACTTTTTTCAATAAATATTTTATTAAATATAACTTTATTCTTGGTGTAAAATGTTAAGCTCATGCTGGCAATGTGTTTTAGATATATATATAATTTTTGACTAAACAAACTTGGGTAATCTTTGCTTGTCATATGCTTCAACACTTAGTATTATCAATATTCAAATTTTCTTGTATTTTTTAATTAAAAACCTGACCAGTATTTCAATAAAAGATGAAACTTGGTTGAAATTGGTTCACGCTTCTTAGAAAAGAAAATGGATGTAATCTAAAGAGTAGTTGCATTTGATTTAAACTAAGTCTGGCACAAAGTAATATTTTGTGGAGCACTAAGATTCAAAATTATCCTGAATAGCATGCTAATTCGTTATAATGAGTGATTAAAAGTAGATATTCCATTGATAGCATCGTTTAAAACAAGTCTTGCAATATGAAAATCTTTTGTGTTGTGATTTATCCAATTTTTTTTTTTAAAGATGGTTTAGATTTTTCAATTTTAATGTCTGTTCTGGATTTATTTTTCAGCCTTTTGTCTGACTCAGAAATATTTTTAATGAAATCCATGACTATATATATATATATATATATATATATATATATATATATATATATATATATAAAAATATCCTGTGAGATTTTACTTTCAGGATAAAAACTGCAGACCCTCCAGAATTCTATTAGAAAATATTTAGATCAATCTTCGAATGTCACCTTATTACAAAAATACAGACTTTAAAAAAATTTCAGTTGTTTATCCTTTACAGAAAAATGACAATTAAAATTGACCAAAATTGAAGTTAATAGTAAAAAACAAATGAATTTTTTGAATTATTATTTTAAGCTAAGAAGTGTTCTTCATTCTCATGGGCTTGTATAATATAGTTTTACTTATTGATTTTTATTTATATGATGAGTGAATGTATACAAAATGAAAGAAAATTATGAACATTTGAAATATTAATTTGATCACAGAATAATTTTAAAATTTTCATTTTCCCTGTTAACTGGTATTTTATTCTGTATGATTATAGAAGAGTGTTTGCTAAAGCTATTTCTAAAGAACAAGGCCTTTTCACAATACAATGTTTTTAGAACATTGATCAAGTTACAAATTTTTTATCTCTTCATTCACAAAATTTTTATCACCAACATTTTTCATTAGTTATGTTCATAGGCAGGTTTATGTAACCCATTTTCTCTAGATAATGCTAAATTTTGCCTATTTTCTTTCATGTGCTTCAACAATAACGTCCACATGCTGTCTATTTTTCACCTTTGAACTATATATTTGTGTGAAAGTCAGCTATTACATAAACACAAAATATCAATGGTTACAAACTTCATGACCATAGACTCTTCAGCAGGTAAACAAATGTTAGTCAAATATATATGAATTTTGGTACAAGGTCAGTTTCATGTTACACTCAAGTTCATTCCACACTAACAATGATTTGTCCGACTAATTTAACCAACAGTCTATAGCATGTGTTCTTAAATGCAGTAAAAGATATAAAATTCAAAATTAAAGTTATCATTAAGGTGAATAATTGAATATATATAGTTAATTGTTATTATAATCAATGATTATTATTATAAGACAGAATCATTGATGAAAAGGTTTATCCAAAAGTTATTAAAATAATTCTATCACTTGGTTTGCAATCAGTTCACATAATAGTGGCCTGACAATATATTTAGTCACTATTTGAAATAACCTTTGGTTACATTCTCCAATATTTATTAAAAGCTTCAAATTAGTATTACTAGAAATGACTGTTGCTCCTTTACAAAAAAGTTAAGATAAAAGAAACAATGATTGAAATATTTGACAAACATGTTTTACTTTCTATAGCCTGTCTTAATCTAGCACAAGTTGTTTACAGTATCTGGTGTTCTGAAGAGGTTACTCATCAGGTTTGACATTGCTTAACTTTGCTGATCAAGGCAGGAACTGGTGTTTTTTTGCAGGATTTGATCATAAGTACAAAGAGGGTCTGTAAATTTATACCAAATGACAGCAATACAAATTTCATAAAAAGGAGAGTGGCCAACTAAGAACTGATGTCTAAAATGATTAGCTTTTATAATTCTAATACAATTGTTAAGATTATTATAGCATTTGGTTTATCTTTTCTAACAATTGCTTAAAATTGTTGTGTATGAAGAATTTCTAATGTAATTCCAAAATTTTCCATTATGTTTATCTGTAAATTTTAGAATAGGTAATTTAGCTGTATTTACAACTGAAGAATAAGTAAGATAATAGATTTACAACTTATACCATATACTTTTAGCATAAAATTCAGTGCTTTGAATCAAAGAACAGTTTGAGAGTCAATTATTTAATAGGTCTATATTGTGTATGATATAACAATGTGAATAATAGACCCGAGATTGTATTTGTATTTATTAAAAAATTAATTCCATAACATTAAGTTAGTTTTTTTCTGTTACATTTTTAAAAACTTAAGACACACAAATATTACAAAATAATTTGACTTTTACACACACACACACATATATATATATATATAAAATTAAAAAAAAAAAAAAACAGCTCCCAGGGTAAAGAAAGAGACATCTAAACCTTATAAGGATCTATCTCACCCTCCATATATACTGTGATCTGTCCATTCACATTACTTATAAAATCCACAATACCCTAGTGGTATAAATATATCTTTGTTTTTTTCTTCTTCTTCTTTTCCAAGTACTAGTTTCTTGCATTTCACTTGAAATTTTTTACAAACTCATCAAATTTCTTTGTTCTTCAAATTTATATTTTAAATAGAATGCATAAATATACTTATCTTCAATCATTTTTCAGTGGAAAACAAGTCCAATTTGAATTCCATTCCAGTTTCATTTTGCAACATTTTAAATATATATAATTTCCATGGAAGCAGTTTTTCCTTTGTATTCTTAGAGACCTTGAAATGTATTGTTGCTCACCTTGTAAAAACCTTAAGTATTTCATTGCCTTAAAACTTAACCAATCAGTACAATTTTGAACCTTTGAAATTTACAATATACGAGTTAACCTTTAACAAACTGCAGGTGACTCAGATAAATCAATAATAGCGTTTGAATTTTGCAGTTGTGTTGCCATATCCTGCTGTGGCAACAGAAAATGATAATGACTGAAATAAAGTTGTACAGCAGAGGAGTCTTGAAAAACAATGCAGTGAATAATAGAGGGTGTTAAAGGTTAAAATGTGAGCAGGTGTAGCCTTTTTAATGGACATAAAATAATCAGCTTTCATCTCAGCCAGTGAAGACAAATTTTTCCAGTTCCATGTATATGATGTTCAGTACATTTTAAAATCTACTCTAACGGAACA